GCAACTGAACAGTGTGGCTGAGAGGATGAACCGAATTTTGATGGAGAAAGTCAGATGTGTACTCTCACATGCAAAGTTGTCTAAGAGATTTTGGGGTGAAGCTTTACTCACAGTAGTTTATCGTTCACCCTATTTCCCTCTATAATTTGATACTCCAAAGAGAGTATGGTTAGGAAATGATGTTTCCTATGATCATTTGCAGGTGTTTGATTGCAAAGCCTTCGTACATGTCCCGAAGGATGAACGGTCGAAGCTTAATGTCAAGACTAGACAGTGTGTATTCATTTGTATTCATTGGCTATTGGCCAAGACCAAATGTGACTATAAGGTTTTAATGACCAATCCAGAGACGATTTAATAAATCGTGGATGCTGTATTTTGAAGATCAGACTATTGAAGATATTGAAGGCAGAGTGCAATAGATCTGATAAAGACTCAACAGACATAACAGAGAGTAGAGAGTCCCTCCAATAGACCGCAAACAAATTGGAGATGAAGAAAATGTTCCATAAGAACAAGTGCCAGAGTTAGAAAATCCAGAAGTTCCTAATGAAAATAAACCAGATGAAGATTGTGGTGTTCATGTTCAGCCACCAGCTCCAGAAGTTTCTCAAACATTAAGAAGATCTAGTACAGTCTGACAACCATCTACTAGATATCCAGTCAATGAATATGTATTGATGACTGACAGGGGAGAACCTGAAAGCTTTGAAGAAGCTATGGAAATGAACATAAGAGGAACTGGATTGAAGCCGTGCAAGATGAAATGAAGTCCTTGCATGCTAGATATTTAGCAAATGAATATGTATTGATGACTGACGGGGGAGAACCTGAAAGCTTTGAAAAACAAGTGGGTGTTCAGGATCAAGTAGGAAGAACACAGCTCCCAACCACGATTCAAAGCTAGACTGGTTGTGAAAGGATATTCAATCAAAGAAAGGGTATTGATTTTGGCCAGTTTGATTCTGGAATTGAGCACAAATGGATTGGATAAGACCTTACTTCCCTAAATGTGAGATTTGGAAAGAAGAAATATATCATGGAGCAACCAGAGAGCTTTTGTAGAAAAAGAGGATGTGTTTGCAAACTGAAGAAAAGTCTGTAATGGGCTTGAGCAGGCACTGAGACAGGTGGTATAAAGAAGTTTGAGTCTTGTTATGGGGGAGCAACGGCTACAGAAAGACTACTTCAGATCACTGTGTTTTATATTCCTCCTGATGATAACTACATTATTTTTTGCTCTATTGTGGTTGATATGGTGACTGTTGGTTAGAATTCTAGCCTTGAAAGATACAGCTAAGTAAGTCTTTTCAATGAAAGACTTAGGACGCAGCAAAGCAAATTCTTGCTGTTAAGATCGAAGAGCCAAGAAATTAATGGTTGTCACAGGAGAGTACGTTGAGAAAAGTACTTCAAAGGTTTAGAATGGGAGAATGGCTAAAGCGGTAGTTTGTCCTCATTACTAAATCATTTAAATTGAGTTCTAACAGTGCACCTTCTACGAATGGAGAGAAGAAAGAAATGGAAAAAGATCTGTAGGTTGTGCCTTGTGTTCGAAAAGTCCTTCCGACAAAGGAAGTTCGGGCGGCGTGTCCCCGCAAAGTTGTAAGGCGGTACAAGATGGTGGGCACAGATTCTAATAGATTATAGCTGCAGGGGGACCCGGTGTCGTTGACAGTCCAAAAGCTCAATTCAACCTGGAAAGAATTCCCTCCTTCCATTCTATCACTAAGATCAAGGGATGTGTTGGAGATGAAGCTGTTACAAACTTGAGAAGATCCATACAGGAGAAATGGATCAGTCATGTTGACTGAAGATTCTTTCAAAAGGAAAAGTTTGAAATACTGTCGGATAGCTGCAGGATGATGGAGAATATGGCTAAATGTTCCCACTTAATAAGTGTCAGGGGGTGAGAATTGTTGTGGTGTGGCCCACTTAAATGGGACCCACAATGTGTGAAAGCTAAGAAAAAAATAGGAGCAGGCCCAGTTCAACAGTGAAGTGGTTTTGAAATTGCTGGCCCACATGGCGGTGCAACTTAAAGAGTTGTACACGGCAATTCCTACGCGTTAACACCTGCGCTATAATAGAGGCAGAGGCAAGAACGCACAACACACACCAAGAAACGAGAGAGAAAATGTAGCGAGAGAGTGTTACCGTTTTAGGATGGGTCCTAAAAACGAGGGAGAGAAAAATAGTGAAGGATTATTTTGGGGTGTTTGGGAAAACACTTTATGTGCCACCTATTTTGTATTACTCTCTTTTGTACGCTACTATTGTTTTAATAGTGGAAGAAATATTCGGAGTTTTGTCCCGTGGACGTACCCTAAAAGAGTTGAGGTGAACCCACGTAAATTTCTGTGTGTCCATTTCTATTATTCGCGCTGCCCAGTAATTATTTTCTCTTAAATTGGTTAAAAGGGCCCAACGGAGGGTATCAGAGCTGATGCCCAACAACTGGTTCAGAGTCGATATCCTAACAATCAAAAAGGTTAATGGTGCTCTTAATTTCCCTGCAAACTAATACTATAGTAATAACATTTTATATAATATATATATTATATATATATATAATAATATATTGTCCAGGTACCGTGACTGTCCAAATATGCTTTTATGAAAATTATTTAATTAAGCATATTTGAAAAAAAAAATGTATATTTTATATATACTTGGAATTAACTACAAGTATATGGAGAGAAACAGCCTTGAATCCGAAATGAAAATTAGTCTTAATATTAAAAAAGGATAGGAAGATGATCATTAATTAAAAATAAAAAGAAATTATAGTTATACACCAAAATATAATTCTGATACGGATTTGCTACCACTCAACCATAGAGCTCAATGAAGCATGGAGAACACCTAAGTTTCTCAGATTGATGGAAGCACATGTTGAGATGGAATCTAAAATTCTAGCATATGGCATGCCCTGGCCATACTAGAGCCTAATTTTGGCGTAATAAGTTAGCTCATTTTTGTTAGTTCTGAGTTGTAATGTTGTTAATGGGTTGGGCCACCAATAAATTGGGCCACCCTTTTAATTTTTATCCTTAGTTGGTTTGGATTAATTATCCTTAGTTGGTTTGGATTATTATTAACTTATCCTTAGTTTGTTTTGAATTAGTTAGTCCTTATCCTTAAGTTGGTTTTGGATTAATCTTCCTTATCCTTAGTTTGGTTTGGATTTTAATTATTCCTTATCCTAAATTTGGTTTAATTTAGCTAATTTTTTTAGTTGATTTGGATTAGTTAATCCTTATCTTTAAGTGTTAAGATTTGTTAGTCTTATCGCTTAGTTTGGTTTAAGGATTAGCTAAAAATCCTTATCCTTAGCCTGATTTAAGATTAATTATTCTATAAATCCTTTAAGGAATCGGACCTCTTTAGAATTAGTATAAATAGCTTGTTTAGCTGATTTAGATTAATTATTCTAAATCCTTTAAGGATCAGGACCTCTTAGAATTAGTATAAATAGCTTGTTATATTGTATTCATTCAACAATTCAATGAAATAGAAATTCTTCTTTCATGCTTAGGCGTGTTCATTGCTGTAGAGAGAGTGTGAGATTGCATTCTTCTAATTGCATCAAGAATCAAGGTAAACTTATCAATTTACTTGTGGCGTTTATCTTTTCCTTTTACTCTATTATTGGTGTTTCCGTTTCTTTATAAACGAGGGGTGCCATAGGGGAGGGTTTAGTTTTATCTTTGATCTCTTCCAAATCTTGTCATAGAGTTCTTAGAATAAATTTCCATAGGGTTCCGCGTCATTAGTGGTAAGTGCATGTACGTCTTAGTGATGGATGAAGGTTCAAATCACCTTTTCCAGTATTTAAAAAAAAATTTGAACTTTGTTAAAATTTTTATTTCAAATTTACAAACTGACGTTTAAACGAATTCATATACTAAAAAAAAAAAAGACTCAACCGTTAAATTCAAAATAATGAACAACAAATTTAGTTAAGTGGCATAAAACCAAAACTATATACTATATAATGTTATTTCATGAAAGCAGACTTTTGATTTCTATACTAAATTATAAAGACAATATATCTTTTCCTTTGAAAATTAATTATCCATGAGGTCATGGCCGTGTCCATTTAATGGTGCACAAAACTTAACTAGTCTTGGTTCACATCGTGACGACTTATTAAACGATAAAATACTCCTAATATGTATTGTATCTATTTCATATAAATGGAATTTACGACTTTAATTAAAGAATAAAAGTGTTGAACTACTCATATCAAGTAACTGTTGATCAAATTTAACAATTTTTTAAAAATTTAATAGAATATGCAAACATTATAATCATAAATTAATTATATTGTAGGTTAAATTAAATTTAGAGCTTCACATTATAATTTGACTTTTCTACTTCAATTAACATTTACTATCTATGTTGGAACTAACGCCTAAAAAAATGAAATTATCTCTCCGTATCTTACTACATTAAAATTAAATTACTTTGAATATAAAGTAAAGAGCAACATTAAATTCAAAATACCCAAAAAATTATAGTTGATCTATTAAAGTACTATATAGGTTAATGAAAAATCAGCTTTAACCAAAAATAAAAAGAAAAGAAAATTCTCTAAGGTTATGGGTTCGATCCTTTATAACGCAAACTCTTCGGGTCAGTCCTTTGCCTCCGAAGGCAAGCGAGAATTAATCAAATTTGTGGACCGTTAAAACATAATTGATCTAAATAACTCGTGCAAGTACAAAAAAAAAAAAAAAAGAAAAGAAAAGAACATTCTCATTATTTTATATATGCATGTGGAAATTGAATTTATTAGCTTAGCTAGCTAGCTATAGCTAGTGATGTTATATAAGGTATGGACTAAAGATGAACAAATTTCCTTACACAAAAAGGGAAAAAAAAAAAAAGTTCGTTCTTCAAATTGCATAGGTGTATGAATCTAAAGTCAGCAAATACTAGCCAAAAAGAAATCCTTTCGTCTCAATCTCTTGTATCTCACATACCATACCTCAAGAGTCTCTCTCTGTCTCTCTCTAGTGTCTATAAATACAGAAGCACTATCATGACATTTTATGCACTTTCATACCCTAATATTACCTATAATCATCCCATAAAATTCTCTTTCCCTTGCAGAAGAAGAAATCCATAATGGCTTTAAAAGGAATTCAAAACCCTAATTATCCATTCTTGGCCATCATTTTTCTAGTTTCAATTATTATTATTCCATGTTATAATTGTCTTCAACAGGACACTCTTAATGATTACCTTGAAGAAGAAACATCTGGCTATGATAATTCTGAAGCTTATCCTTCCTATTTTAGCTCCCTCGATGACGGTCAGTCCAATCACTATGTTAGTTTAAGAATTGATAATGTTCTAAATTTGAAAATATTTGATAAAGTTGGATCCACATCAACTTCAGTTAACAAAATTAGTGTTGATGATTTTGGAGCTAAAGCAGATGGAAGTGACGATACTCAGGTATTTTTCCATTTTTACATACAATTTTAAATTTTTTTTGCCAATTTCTTTTAGTATTATTAATCTAATTTTTCTCAATATATATTTTTATAGGCTTTCGAAAAGGCTTGGAAGGAAGCTTGTTCATCTAAGGGAGCTATTCTTGTTGTGCCTGAGAACAAATATAGTGTCAAGCAAGTTAGATTCTCAGGTCCTTGCAAATCCGATATAACATTTCAGGTAACCTAAAATAAATATACTTATAAATGCATAGTTTTTTTTTTGTTTCAAAAAAATATATATTTTTTAAAAAACCCATTTAATTTTTCTATTACACATTACCTATATATATATATATTAATTGATATAAAAATTAAAATTTGAAAAATATTAGATATATGGAACAATCGAAGCATGGGAAGATCGATCAGCCTACGAGAAAGACGATAGACATTGGCTTGTATTTGATGAAGTTATATGGAACAATCGAAGCATGGGAAGATCGATCAGCCTACGAGAAAGACGATAGACATTGGCTTGTATTTGATGAAGTTGAAGATTTGGTAGTTGAAGGTGGTGGCATAATTGATGGGAATGGCAACATTTGGTGGAAAAACTCATGCAAAGTCAATAAAGATCTTGTAAAATCATTTCTCTATCTCCAATCTCCTTTTTATTCCGGTCAAAAAAAAAATCTCCTTTTATTATTATTATTATTATTATTATTTCTTTTTTTTTTTTTTTTTTTTTTTTTTTTTCTCGGCAATAAAAACTGACTCTTCTTGTTTTCTTCATGATCGCATCTTTTTTTTTTTTTTTTTCGCAATAAAAAACTGACTCTTCTTGTTTTCTTCATGATCGCCTCAGCCTTGCAAGCATGCACCTACGGTATGCGTCGTCGTTATTTACTTATTTATTTTATAGCTTAAGCTCTGTTGAGAAATTATTTTTGAACTAGTTTTTATCGTTTTGACTAAGTTAAATTTTTATTTTCTACGTTTGTAATGTTCAGTAACATAATTTTTAAAGGCTGAATGAGCTTTTATGAAACATTAAACATTTTGACGTTTATCATTTAACTTTTAATTAAATTTTTTTGACAATCATACTCATTTATTTTTCTCCAAATTCAACTAATTAAATACTTAATATTCTTTTTGACATTTTAAATTAAAGAGCTATCAAACACTTCTAATTTAAACCACCATACAAACAACTATCAGTTAATAACTATTACAATAACTACTAAAATAGTGCTCTAAACCCAATATATATGAAACTTCGAATTTATATTATCCTGAAATTTAAGAATTTATATCATTTTAATTTTTAATTAACAAGAATAGAATTCCTATTCATGGCAGGCTTTGACCTTCGATAAATGCAAGAACTTAGTAGTAAAGAACCTGACAGTCCAAAATGCACAGCAAATGCATGTGTCTTTTCAAAGCAGCAGAGATATTGAAGCCTCCAATCTTTTGGTAACTTCACCTGAGGATAGTCCTAACACTGATGGAATCCATGTCACTGAAACCCAAAACATCCAAATTACAAATTCAGTCATAGCAACAGGTAAATTTACAGTTTTAACCCCTTAAATTACATAAATTAAATTTATTTATTTTTTTGATTAACCATTAGGAGTAATAATTAGTTTCTTTAATCTCGTGTTATATTAAAGGTGATGATTGTATCTCTATTGTAAGTGGATCTCAGAATGTGCAAGCCATGAACATAACCTGTGGGCCAGGCCATGGAATAAGGTCATTGTCTTATTTGCCCTCTCTTAAAATAATCAAGGTTTGCTTGGTATAATTAATTAATTAACTACTAATTAATGTTTCTTGTTTCTCATATGTTTAGTGTTGGAAGCTTAGGTTATGGAAATTCAAGAGCTTATGTTTCAGGAGTAACTATTGATGGTGCCAAGATTTCTGGCACTACAAATGGTGTTAGGATCAAAACATGGCAGGTAAATAATATTATTATTATATATTACTTTAAACAACTGCACAGCTAGATAATTTCTCAAGCTTAACAATTTTCACTATGAAGATATTATATATATATTTTTAACTTTGGGGGCGGCGTTGTCTTAAAGAATATGTAGTTCTTCTCCCGATCTTAAATTAAATTTCAAAAACTAAATAAATGAATAAGACATTTTTTTAGTATTAGGAGGGGGAATTTGAACCTGATCTATCTATCGTCAAATTGTACATGCATTTACCAACTAAACGTGAATGAATGAATAGAGGTTATAATTAATTTAAATATATATGCAGGGAGGGTCAGGAATTGCCAACAATATCAAATTCCAAAATATTGAAATGTACAATGTCACCAAGCCCATTATAATTGATCAGCACTACTGTGACCAACACAAACCATGCAAAGAACAGGTATGCATATATATATATATATATATATATATGGAGCCGAGACATAGGCATGCTCAGTAACAACTTTTGAGTTATTTTTTAGCATTTTGACCAAGTGAAAATTCTATATGTTTTAATTATAGTGTTCAGTAACATTGTTTTTATAATAGCTTTGAGAGATTGAGGGAATTTTTTATAAAACGTTAAATATTCTAGCATTTAGCTTTTAACATTTAACATTTAACTTTCAATTAAAAATTACTCATTGTTTTTTTACTCCGAATTCGGTTAACAAGTAATATCTTTTTTTGTCATTTTAAACAAAACAACTAATTAAACCACTATTTTTATCGAACACTTCTAATTTAAACTGCTATATAAACAACTACCAGTTATGAATAAGCTAACAGTAATAGCTAAATTGACTCGTAATGTTTCCTATCACAGTTCACAAAAATGTGGGATTACCCTTTAGTTATTAATTAAAACATATATTATTTGTTATTGCAGAAATCAGCAGTTCAGGTGAAAAATGTGGTGTACAGGAACATAAAGGGGACAAGTGCTTCTAATGTGGCAATAAAGTTTGATTGCAGCAAGAGCTATCCATGTCAAGGGATTTTGTTGGAAGATGTTATTCTTAAAAGGGAAGGAGATGAAGCAGCAAAAGCTTCATGCAGTAATGTTAAATTAACTGAAAAGGGAGTAGTTTCTCCAAATTGCCCTTGAACAGAAACAAAAATCACTGTATGTAACATATATATGTATGAATAATTTATAGATACTTGCATTGGATATTTTTATACATGATGTACCAATAACACAATACATAGATTGTAACTTTGGTTTGTTTATATTCATTAGAAGATGAAATAATAAAGATCTCACATATTGTTTTACATGCTCCTCCTTTATTATATAGTGTCATAGCCCTGACCTGGTCAGTATTGTCCGCTTTAGGCTTTGCAACCCTCACGGATTTGTCCCTCAGGCAGGCTTTGCAACCCACCCAAAAGCGCGCGACCTGGTCAGTATTGTCCGTTTAGGCCTTTGGCAACCCTCACGGATTTGGGTCCCTAGGGCAGGCTTTGCAATAACCTCACCCAAAGCGCGCTAGACCAAGTTAGAAGCTACCCTCTTATGTAAATAAGATTCGTTACGCCCGTCCTTAACCGATGTGGGATTTGCCTAAGGTGTGCTGGCCTTGCCAACAATACACCCCCCCCTTGGGGACTCAGCGTCCTCGCTGAGAGTTTGCCCCACCACCGGCCAGAGGGCACAGGGCTGGGCCCTCTGATACCAATTGTCATCAAAATAAACATGTCACACCTTACCCTACTGTAAGACATGGCATGTCGGCCCGTAAATATAAAAAGAAATGTCTATAATTTACTAACTAGTAATCTCAATATAATTTCTTAAACATATTATTAAAAACATAAAATGGTTCCATAACCCATAAGTCCATAGATGATTTAATTACATATTGGAGTTCTGTTCAAATCTTAGATACATAATAGAAATTAATTACTTAATAGACTATAAATTTTCAAATTCATACAATCATAATTCACATGAATCTGCTCAAATATACATAGATGATCTGTTAATGTTTAATACATCATACATATTCTAAAAGAAGTCAAATATACAATAGCTACATCAGTAGCATACTATCTACATCAAATAAAAATGATCCTCTCTTGGTTCTTTTTCCTTTTCTTTACCTGTTTAACCTGCGATAGTACAAAAGCAACTATCGCTAAGCATATGGCTTTAGTGGTGTACCTAAATAAAAATAATAAAGGAATGACAATTCATAAATCCATCCATGGTAAAGAATAATAAGAAACAAGAATAAAATCAATACCATTTTAAATCATCAATTCCAATAATATAGTCTTTAAACAGCTTTTTATAGAGTCAATTCTGAGGGCCATTTCAAGTTGTCTTAATGGCACATCTAGACTGCTATCTACAACCTCAATCCTGTGGATATGATTTCAACAAGAAGAGGGAGCAATCTACAACTCAACATGGAGGGAGAATTTCATATCAATCATATAATCATCTAGTGATTAGATATCCATGTTCCAATCGATCGTAATTCAACTTCAACAAATGAAATGATATTCGGCGGTAATAACCAATATCTTATAATCAGCTGTAAAGACTTTTAAAAACCATTCATTTAATGTACTTAATATCAAATCACAATGGACAAGCCCAATCCATGAAAATATTTTTGCAAAATCAATTCATCATTTTGTTTAAATAAAAGTAGGAAAGGAATAATAACACTAACCTGAACTAGATGGCTCCCCTAGCCCTTTTCCTCTAGTAATCACCCTCTCCTCAACTCCCTTTCTCTCAGAAGCTGTAGCATGATATTAATACTCACATTAAGATCATACTACACAATGTAAACACATGCACTTCTATAGGAATGTAAATTAAGCATTAGAATGTAGTATCATGCTTTTTCTTTCATTTTCACTATGCTTGTCCAAGTGTTATATGATCTGAGTTTAAGCATGAAACACTTCATATCCAACACTTAACCACACCCTAGACACAGAATAACAACAATGAAAACAATAGAAGTCAATAGCATGCTAAATTCGTTCAATGTTTATGAAATGCAGAATTTCAGCATTTGAGTAGCTTGTATTCCATTGATTATATCTGGACTTCCTCAAATTCATTTGCCCTGAAATTTTTACAGCATGTTCCCAACATCTTAGGGTACTTCCCTGTAAAATTTCATAATTTTTAAAGCTCATTTGCATTACATAATTATTAGAATCTGAAGTTCAGTTTTTCTCATGGTGAGCAGCCTGTACTAATTTAATTATAACTCCATTTCCTTTTATCCAATGGCCTTCCCCTTTTACCACGACCTACCCAACATCTCAGCCTATCTCGATGTAACTTTTCATGAATTTTGAAGTTCATTTGTTGAGCCAAATAGGTCAATTACTGAAGCTGAAGTTCAGACAGCCCAACTATAACAGGTCTAACAATGATATATTTGCTCAAGCATTCTCAACTCACTTCCAGCACAAATTCATGCAATTCAACTCTTCTATTACTTACACAACATCATAATATAAGATATATCAGAATCCAGATATAGCAGATCAGAATCCCTAGTTCATGGCATATCAAGAACAAACTCAAAATCATCCATCTTGGTGACTTAAGCAACTTAGACTTTGAATTCATGCATAACTACTTTCAATCATCTTAAATCACCTTAAAATCACTTCTCATCACTTCATCATCACTTCATCTTCACCAAATCAGATTACACAAACAAGCACCTCACTTCAAAGTTCATGGAATTCAAAAAGTAATCCATAGAAATGAAGGAGGAATCGAGCATTCAATCTTGTTCCATCTAAAAGCACCAAATCTTCATACCTTTTCTTGACCCATTCTTCCTCGATCAGACCAGCTTCCACAAAAACTCTGAGAGACTTCTTTTCGAGCTCTATCAGTAACACTGCCTCCATTCCATATTCAAGTTCAAAAGGAGAAGCTCCATTCACTGATTTGAAGGTAGTGCGAGGTCCCCAGAGCGTGAAAGGAAGTTTCTCGGCCCAACTTTTGTACCTTTCACACATCTTCGACAGTATTCTTTTAATCTCCTTATTCGCAGCTTCTACTGAACCATTAGCCTGAGGGCGATAAGGAGAAGAGTGGTGATGCTCAACCTTGTACCTATAAAGCAACTGACCAACATCCGCTTGAAAATGAGAACCATTATCGTCATTCATCTTTTAACTCATTTTTGATTTCCTTTAAGCTTTCACATTGATTTGCAAACATGGATTTGTAAAAGATCAATTAATGTTTCCATTTAATATTTGTAAAGATCAATTAATGTTTCATTTAATTAATATTAATATCCTCAATCTATAGTGTTTCCCATTATTTTAAGTTTTCCTTTTATTCGGATAACTGAATTCATCGAAAAAGCTAAAATAGAAAGAACTACGAAATTGAGGATATTACATATAGTCTATCAAATGTCCAATTCAATATGTAGATTTATCATATGGGCAATTCTGTCTTTCATTTCACACTGAGCTAATTAAATACTTCCATCCCCAAATTATTTAAAAAGCTTAAAATTAGAAAAGAAAAAATTATTTAAAAATATAACGATAATTATACAAAATTAAAGTGTCTCATCTTCGGTTAAAATAATTAAAAATTATAGAATTAGAAAAATATTTGATTATGTTGTATATTGAATTGTTTTTCATTAATTATATTTATTCAAAATAAATATCTAATTATTTTTTAATTATATTTATTTGAATCAAATATTTATTTTTTTAAATTAAAAATTAGGTTTTTATTCTTTTTGCGTAAGTTTAAGGAGTAAATTGTATAAAAAATTAATTTTAGGTACCTTACGTGTTATTTTTGAATGAATCAATCGGGTTAAAATAAATATTTTAACTATATTTGAATAGTTGTTTAAATTTAAACAATAAATTAACTCAAGGATAGATTTTATAATCGCTGCGCTCCTCTCTCTCTCTTTCCTTTTCGCCATTAAAATTTTCTTCATTTCTTTACATTGAAACACAAAACCAAGCATGTAGATATGGAGAGAGGCTGATTCTTGTCTTTTATGACAGCTCCTCCTGATATTTTTAATATATTTTTAATTTTATTGCAAATTTTTTTATTTTTTATTAAATAAATTACAGATATATATATATATATATTTTGCATAGATTCATGTTATTTATGTTTCGACCACTGTTTGTGTTTTATCTCCATTTTGTGTGGAGTTTATGCTCTCTCCATTTTATGTGGAGTTTTGTTTTGTTGTTTGCATTTGTTTGGTTTATTTGGATAGGTATCAATTTGTGGAAAATTTTTCAACTATACAATAATCTTCATCTTTTGAAGCCTGATAGTGCGGCATGTTTATCCATTAGATTTAGTGGTTCAAATCCTCTATGTTCATCATAAGTAACTAATTCATGGATAAGTACGCCATATATAGAAGATCGGAAAGTTCATCTAATTAATCACTTTTGAAAATCTATTTATTTTCTTGAAGTTCACATTCTATTCTTGATTAAAATTTTTTATTAAATCAGCGAATAATAATAATTTTTTAGTTTTTATTTTATGTCTGGTCTTCAGGCGAGAGGCTAAATCCTCCCCGTAACATTTGTATCGAAGCTTTTTTAACGAAATCCTGATTTTATCTAAAAAAAACGGTAATTTAACTCATTTTCAAATAAAAAGAAAAAAAAAAAGAAAAAGAAAAACAGTAAATTAATTGCCAGTCCCAGGCTCGCAGCATCTTAAAGTCAACCCATAGATTTCTGATCCAGTTCGTTGTCAAGCACAGGCCCAAACAGAGCCTACATCACAAATGAATACTCTGCAAACCGAAGTACAGAATATTAGCACCTGCACCTACTCAACTAGGCAGCGCACGTCACGGACCTAATAGGTTTTTTTTTTTTGTTTGATTACTGCCGGCTACAGCAGAGAAACAGAAAATGACTGTTCAAGAACCGGAGGAACCAATTATCCAATCATATTCTGCCACCTTAGAAAAAGCCATATAAATGCTTATAAAATTAGCACTAGCATTTTACCAACTTTCCAATTCAGAAATATTTTTAACACAAAATTCCTTTGTCTCATAATAATAGCTTCATATATTCAACAAAAATATAGTTAATATAGTAAATCATAAAATCTCTTCAAAAAAATAGTAAATCATAATTTTATTTTATTTTTCAAATATATCCTTATCTTAAATAATTTATATTTTAAAATTATAAAATTGACTAATAAAAATGATAGTAATAATTACCTTATTTATGCACATCAAAGCATAAACTAATGGAAAATGTATATACGACCCATAAATCCGGATTTGAATTATCCCTTCCCAATATTCAAAAAAATTAATTACCTTATTTGTTTCAAGATTTGATTAATGATCCTTCCAATACTTCAAAAAAATTAAATTACCCTTATTTGTTTTCAAGATTTTGATTAATGATTATATATATATAATTATTATAATATATATTAACAAATATATATTAAATAGAACTAGAGTATGAAATTTAAAAGATTATCCTCTCTTAGAATGGAAAATAGGAGTACAATTTAAGAGAAATAAAAAAAAAGTGTACTGGCTAAATGAAGTATTTTTTTTATCAATTAAATATATTTGATAAAGAGAAATAAAAAAAAAGTGTACGGGCTAAATTAAGTATTTTTTTATCAATTAAATATATTTGATAAAAATGTATTATCAAAATATATAAAATAAATTACTTCATACCACCCATTTTTATTTTATTTATTATTATTGTTATATATTATTTATTTTGATTAATATTCGGAAAAAGAAATTTCAAGAAAAACCTTAGTACAATTTAAAAAATAAAAGAAAATAAAAACTATAAAAGCTAATAAAACATATTACTGAATTGCATATTTTCATTTATTTTTCAATGAAAATCTGTTAAAATTTAATTGAAAATGTTAAAATAAAATTAAATTACAAAATTCATACCGAAAAAAATGTAATTAACCCTATGTGAAAAAGTCTCGTACGTGGCAAGATCTTTTCTAAACTAAATATCTCCATGACTTGTACTTGAAGTTCCTCCTTCAAGAATCCATCAATTTACTGTTGCTCTTTTTGGCTTTTTGCAGCCTTTTTTAACCTTCTAAAAATAGTAAAAATTAAAAAAAAAAAATGAAATGGAGACAGAGAGTGTGGATCTAAGTGTCGGTTCTTGTCTCTTTCTCCATCTCGCTTTCATTAGTGTCGGTGTTTATGTGAGTGAGTGACTGTTAAGCTTTCACTATTTGGTTGGCTTAAAAAATCCAAATGATGTTACATTTCTCCTATACTCCTAGACTTTAGTAAAAGTTCGTTTCTTTTTTAGTGGGTTTCGTCCTGCAAATTTGCTGGATTAATGTGGTCTTGAGAATTTTAGACTTGTTGGAGTGGGTTTAAGCTTTGGATTCAAGAAGAATTGATTTTGACTGGAGAACAGGGCAATGGATCTGGAAGGAGATGCGGGAGGGGTTAGTGCATTAAATAATCTTGCTCTATGTTTTGGCGGATTTGTTTTGAATTGATTTTATGCTACATTTTGTTGAATTACATTAGTCTTATTAATTTACTGTTGATATATGAAATTGGATTGAAAGTTTTGATCTTTATGCTTAATGTTTAGATCTCTTAAACAATAAAGGAAACAGAATTTTGATTGCTTTTAAGATGCCTTTGGTAAAATCATCCGTTTTTCCAGATCCAAATATGTTTTAGGTGTTTAGCTTTTCATACTGTTGAACTTTTTTATAAGCTATTTAAATAGATCCAATTTCTGGTTAAAAACAGCTGAGTTTCTCGATTTTGTTTCTTGATTTCATTGAATTGTATTTTATGCTGCTTTCAGATCAACACTAATTTAGAAACTTGTTAGATGGTTTATATTGAAATGTGGAATCTCTTTCTTGAACTTTTTGTAGCACTAGATTTAGTTTATCTTTATATTTTGAATTTTGGAATTATGGTTTATGTAATTGTAAGTAAAGCATTTCCTTTCGAACTCACTTTTGACTCTTGAATTGTTCTGCTTGTTGTCCAGCCTAAAAATGCAAAACAAAATGCTATCCAGGTCTGCCAAATTTGCAGTGATGATATTGGCCTGACTGTAGATGGAGAGCCCTTTGTTGCTTGCCATGTTTGTGCATTTCCTGTTTGCCGGCCATGTTATGAGTATGAGAGGAAAGATGGTAATCAGTCTTGTCCGCAATGCAAAACCAAATACAAGAGGCATAAAGGTTGGTCGGAAAGTTTAATTGCTTCTCTTGCAATTTATGCAGAGATTATTACCGAGTGACTTATACATTTAGTTTCTTTAATTGCTATCAGGTAGCCCTCCAATCCGCGGAGAGGAAGTGGATGATGCTGATTTTAGTGATGTAGAAAATAAGTCAACTCATCATGGATCGGGGATTCAAGATGAGAAAAGTAAGATAGAGCACATGCTCGGCTGGGATTCAGGCTCTGGTCGGAAAGATTATGTTCCACCCACTAATTATGATAAAGATGTTTCTCTTAATCATATTCCTTATTTGGCTGGTAGACGCTCGGTAGGTCTCTGGATTATGGATCATTGCCATCAACTTTTTCCTCTCATTTCAGCATTTATTGTAAATATTGATGTTATTTATTTATATTTCAGGTTTCTGGGGACTTGTCAGCTGCATCTCCCGAGCGTTATTCCATGGCTTCTCCTGAAAGTGGCAGCAGAGGTAAGGGAAAATTCTTTTCAGTTATTTTAGACATTCTTATGTTGATTATTTCTGTATATTTTCTTCAAATTTTTATGTTATTACTGGGCTTGTTTGCAGTTAATATCAGAGTTGGAGATCCAGCAAGGGAGTCTGGATCTTCAGGTTTTGGTAATGTTGCATGGAAAGAGAGGATTGATGGTTGGAAGGTGAAGCCAGAGAAGACCCCTGCTCCAATGAGTGTAAGTAATGCACCATCAGAAGGCAGGGGAGTTGCAGATTATGATGCCAGCACAGATGTGCTTATGGATGATTCTTTATTGTAAGTTCCTAATGGAGTACAATGCTTAACATTCCTTTATGCAGATTGTTTGCATTATCTTCCTCATTGCTTTCGAACTTAATATCTATCAAGCCTTTTGATTTTCCTTTAATGAGACATTGGAAACAATAGAAAAAAATGCTGCATTTGGAAAATAAAATATTCATGAAATTGATATGCTAATGCTCACTGGTTTTCCATCTGCAATTAATATATTCATGAGTATACATTAGTGGAAGAATGCATAATTGGGTGTCTTTGATCAGATTCAAAATACTCTACTTCATTTAATTAGTTGGCCTAGTATTGGGCTATTTTCCTGATACTCCTGGATTAATGGCATTTCTCATGAAAAGTTATTCATGTATTTTCATACATCAACAACCACAGTACACATTAGCTAAGCAATTTAAATTTGTTGGGCATGTTTGGCAAGTGAATACCTTTCTTTAAATGCCTACTTGATTGTGTTTTCAAATTACAGATAATCTAGATCGGCTTTGGGTGTCTACTTAACTTCTATTTTTCTTATTGTTGCAACACAGGAATGATGAGACCCGCCAGCCTCTCTCAAGGAAGGTTTCTCTTCCTTCCTCCAGGATTAACCCTTACAGAATGGTTATTGTTTTGCGGCTTATTATTCTTTGCATATTTTTGCACTACCGAATAACAAACCCGGTGAGGAATGCATATGCATTGTGGTTAATATCTGTTATCTGTGAGATATGGTTTGCAATATCATGGATATTGGATCAGTTCCCTAAATGGCTTCCTGTGAACCGGGAGACATATCTTGACAGGCTAGCTCTCAGGTATTTTTATCCTTTTCCTGTAAACTTCATCAAATAAAACTTTATTTTTGTCAAAATCCTTGAAAGATTTAAGTATAGATATTTTGATGCATCACAGATATGAGAAAGAAGGGGAGCCATCTCAGTTGGCTTCTGTTGACATTTTTGTCAGTACAGTGGACCCTTTAAAGGAACCTCCACTTGTCACAGCCAATACAGTCCTATCTATTCTTGCAGTTGACTACCCAGTGGACAAAGTTTCTTGTTATGTTTCTGATGATGGAGCTGCTATGTTGACATTTGAAGCCCTAGCTGAAACATCTGAATTTGCTAGAAAATGGGTTCCATTCTGTAAGAAATACAGCATTGAACCACGAGCTCCAGAATGGTACTTTGCACAAAAGATTGACTACTTAAAAGATAAGGTTCATCCATCATTTGTTAAAGACCGCAGATCTATGAAGGTAGCACATTTTATATTTTTCATTAATAATTTTAACTATCCTAGACTCTGTGTATGCTGTATTTCTTATAGCAAATAATTGTATTTCAGAGAGAATATGAAGAATTTAAAGTTCGTATCAATGGGCTTGTGGCAAAGGCACAGAAGGTTCCTGATGAAGGATGGGTTATGCAAGATGGTACACCTTGGCCTGGTAATAACACCAGAGATCATCCGGGAATGATCCAGGTTTGTGTATTTCAAACTAAACTCTTGGTGGGCTTCCTGGGAGGAATTGCCTTATGATAATATAACTACTAATTTTGCATCATTAGTATTTAGTTTATATCTCTTGTAGTATTCTGCTTGTTAATTGATGAAGTCTTTCTTACTTAGTGGTCGTGATTATTGTGTAACAGCAGGTTTAAGCAGTTTTTTCTTTTCTTTTCTCTCTGAACTCTTCTGTTGGCTCGTGTTTCTCCTTCCATCATAATTTGTAGGTTTTCTTGGGCCATAGTGGAGGATTTGACAGTGAGGGTAATGAACTTCCACGACTAGTCTATGTATCTCGTGAAAAGCGTCCCGGTTTCCAGCATCACAAGAAGGCTGGTGCCATGAATGCACTTGTAAGTAGTTGTTAGATATATCTTTGGGCTGTCGAGAAAGTTATTGGCATTAACTATCTGCACATCTCCCAAACAGGTGCGTGTTTCAGCAGTTCTTACAAATGGCCCCTTCTTATTAAATCTTGATTGTGACCATTACATAAACAACAGCAAGGCATTGAGAGAAGCTATGTGTTTCCTAATGGATCCTAATCTTGGGAGATCAGTTTGTTATGTCCAGTTTCCCCAGAGATTTGATGGTATCGACAGAAATGATCGATATGCCAACCGCAACACAGTTTTCTTTGATGTAAGTTCTGATAACAATATTTGCATGAATTTATCATTTATTTTTTCATTTTATCTTAATATGTATCATGAAATCTGTTCAAGTTTTATTTGTATGTTGTTTTAGATAAGTATGTGTATTTTTCATCTCTAGGCTGACAGTTTATGTTATTTAGATAAATTTAAGAGGATTGGATGGCATCCAAGGCCCTGTGTACGTGGGTACAGGTTGTGTTTTCAATAGAACAGCCTTGTATGGCTATGAACCTCCTCTCAAGCCTAAGCACAAGAAACCAGGATTCTTGTCTTCATGCTTTGGCGATTCACGAAAGAAGAGTTCTAAAACAAGCAAAAAGAACTCTAGTAAGAAAAAATCAAGCAAGCACGTCGACCCTACTTTGCCAGTGTTCAACTTGGAAGATATAGAAGAAGGGGTTGAAGGTAAGTGTTCGTAATTGATGTTCTTCTTTGTACTTTATCCATTACACTGAGATGCTGCATAAAATATTTAAGTTTATCTACTCCCTCCCCTCAAAACAGACATATGGAGTTTCTTTTGTGATGTAAAATAATGGTAAAACTAGCATTCCTGATTTCATTTTTGAGCTTGCAATACAAAAAGAAAAACTCAGTACTATGCTGCTATTTGAATTTTCAATGTTTGTTTTTCCATTTAGTCATGCTACTGATTTATTTGAACAGGTGCTGGATTTGATGATGAGAAGTCATTACTTATGTCACAAATGACACTTGAGAAAAGGTTTGGTCAATCGACTGTGTTTGTAGCTTCAACACTTATGGAGAATGGTGGTGTTCCTGAGTCTGCCACTCCAGAGTCTCTACTCAAAGAAGCTATTCATGTCATTAGCTGTGGATACGAGGACAAGACAGACTGGGGAAGCGAAGTATGTGCTTTTCCTGTTTTTTCTCTGATTTGCATCACTAGCTATTTTCTTTGTTTGCTGTATAAACATGGACAACAAAATTGGCATTAAAAACATCAACCAGAAGTGCTTTTTAATGATAAGCAAGGTTGTATGAAAGCATAGAATCAAGGGCAAGAATATATTATTACTAGAAGAACTTTTTCTTTTTATCATTTACTTCTTAGTTGCTTCATTACACCATCAAATTTCCCTTTTAGATTCACTATTGGACTAATGAAGCTCTTTCGTTCAACTAATATGGCTTATGAACAGAAACCAATGCCATAGTTCCAAACAAATAATTGATGCTTCTCTTTGCAGATAGGATGGATATATGGTTCTGTTACAGAAGATATCCTCACAGGATTTAAGATGCATGCTCGCGGTTGGAGATCAATCTATTGCATGCCACACCGCCCTGCCTTTAAAGGTTCTGCTCCTATTAACCTCTCTGATCGTCTGAACCAAGTGCTTCGATGGGCTTTAGGTTCAGTTGAAATTCTTTTTAGCCGCCACTGCCCCATATGGTATGGCTATGGTGGAAGGCTAAAATGGCTTGAGAGATTTGCTTATGTCAATACCACTATTTATCCTGTCACGGCCATTCCTCTTCTTGCCTACTGTACATTGCCAGCTGTCTGTCTTCTTACCGGAAAGTTCATTATTCCACAGGTATTTTAGCTTGCTGCCTTGTGGTGAATCATCTGTTTTTATTCTCAGAACTTCATATAGGTGTTAGCATGAAACTTCTAATGCTTAAAGAAACAAGGCTTGCTAAAGTCCCTGCCATACAATGTCTAGTTTCCATAAAAAATAATTTTTTGGGAAAGCTTTTTCAAAGAATAACAAAATCCTAATCCAACAATAACTTTTTACCCCTTGTTTGGTATAAATGATTTAAAATGTGAAATCTGTTTATAAATCATAGCTTGATCTATTTATGTTGAATTCTATAAAACTGAATTGATACTAGACATGAAAATATAAAATTTCAAATGAACCCAGAATTTTGTAGAATTCATTTCATAATACCAAACGGATGCCTAGTGTGTGTATGCATCTCTCTGTTTTTTTTAGAGGACAAAAAAAAAAAAAATGTCCTACTCCAACTAATATGTGAAGCAAATAAATGGAGTATATTTTGTACTGTTTCTTTTAGAAACTGTAGCTGTAAGTGCTGTTCAGCTGAAACTTACTCCTGATTTGTATTTTTGTGGTGCTGCAGATCAGTAACATTGCTAGTATCTGGTTCATATCACTCTTTCTTTCCATTTTTGCTACCGGTATTTTGGAAATGAGATGGAGTGGAGTTGGAATTGACGAATGGTGGAGAAATGAACAGTTTTGGGTTATTGGAGGAGTGTCAGCTCACTTATTTGCCGTTTTCCAAGGCTTGCTTAAAGTTCTTGCTGGAATAGACACCAATTTTACTGTCACTTCCAAAGCATCAGATGAAGATGGAGATTTTGCCGAGCTTTATATGTTCAAATGGACTACTTTACTTATCCCACCAACTACCCTTCTTATAATTAACCTGGTTGGTGTAGTTGCTGGGATTTCTTATGCCATTAACAGTGGATATCAATCTTGGGGTCCTCTCTTTGGCAAGCTATTTTTCGCTTTCTGGGTGATTATTCATTTGTATCCTTTCCTAAAAGGTTTGATGGGACGGCAGAATCGGACACCTACAATTGTTGTTGTATGGTCAATTCTTCTTGCTTCTATCTTCTCCTTACTTTGGGTTCGCATTGACCCTTTCACAACACGAGTGACTGGCCCGGACGTCCAGCAGTGTGGAATCAACTGCTAGAGGAAAATGCTGGTGCAAAACATAATAACGTCATAACACGCGGAAATAAGAAGAATTCCGGATCTTTATTCTGATATTCTGAGTTGGGAGAATTTTTGAAGGCATATGGTTTTAACTTTGTGTAATGCAAGTCTGGTTTATTAACTGTTCCGAGAATTATAGGTGAATTACCTCCTCCTTATATTTAAGCTAATTTTTCATTTTTTCATTTTCTTATTTTTAGTTTGATTTTTCGGCTTTTTTACCAAGTTGAATATAGTTTGTTTAGTCAGCTTATTTTTTAATTTATCAAAGTGAATGTTTGTTGATGATGCTCTTCAATTTCTTGTATTTATAATGTAAGCAATAAAGAATCTATTTCTTAAACTCTTGCCCATTGTTGATGACTAGTTAACATAATATTGAGGTCTATATTAAAGTGTCTTCACTTTGTTTGTTTACATCTAATTTTCTTTTTGTTATTATCTTTTGAGATTCCTGTTTCTAACACATTTTGCTTTCATTGCTTAATTGAACATATTAGATATGGAGATAAAGTTAATTTGCAAGCTTATGAGCTGATTTTGAGTTCAGCTTATTTATTAAACGAGCTTGATGGTTTGGCTCGAGCTCGGCTCGAAAGTTTATTGAGCGAGCTCAAGCGGATTTTTATAAAGCCAAGCCTCAAACCAACTCATGGGCATCTCGTTTCATCTAATCTAAAGCTTTAGCTATCAAGAGTTTAACACTAGCATTCCTTATACTTCAAGAAATTTGAGATGTACTAAAAAACCCAATAACAAGGTGTAGACGTTGGATGGATCTTGATAATTGAGTTTAAATATCACCATTAAACTCATCCATGCATATTTGATAAAGTGAGTCAGATTAGAGGGACCCTTGCGTCCTCTGTTTTGTTTTAAAACATCAAACAATAGAAATAGATATATTTTAATAATTTTTTTCACGATTAAGAAACAAAAACAAAAAAATTGCCACCATTAATTTACTCAGCACAAGAAGCACGTTTCTGCAGAAACATCGAGTTGCAGTATTTGCTGTTGTGTTTGACCATTATTACTCCGTCTTTCTGAACAAGAGTTGGCAACGGTAATAATTTAAAAGCCTTTGTAAGGTGACCGTTTGGAAAAGAGTTTAGGTAGCTTTTGAAAAAGCAATAGCCAAATAGTGAAAAAGTTTTATTTTGCTTTTACAGCAAATAGTTTTATAATTGTTTTAGCTATGATGTTGCTGTGCTTTTAGTATACTTGCTGTATACCTAGTGGGAGTGAGATATCCAGCACCTGCCTTTTCTACTTCCTTAAATTATGCCCATTTGTTCCCATTACAGAAAACCCTCTACTTGCATTTAAATTGTAGGGTTAAAGATTAAAAAATGGAAACAAATAGTTTATAGAATTGTATATTAAACGTCTTTGAATCTTGTCAAGTGATTATTGATTAGTTTTACATTGTAACATGACTTATAGGACTAACATGATGTATTTCAGGTAAATATTGTAGGAAAATATAATTTGAGAATTTCTTTTTTTTTTTTCAAAATTAAGGGAGAGAGGATTTCAACTTGAGTTTATTACCTACTAACTCAATGCTGTAAGGCTGGTGTTCGAGAGCATTGAACTACGAGCCCTATTTTTTCATTATAGGATGTAATAAAATAGACACCAGTCTAATACAGGGCTCTTTCCTGAACTTTAGCCGAGTCTTTTTTTGGCCTCCAAACTTTAGCCAAGTCACTACGTAGCTCCTTGAACTTTGTGCAATTCAATTTTGACAGTACACTTTCACATTTTAATGATAATTATATTTTTTGTCTATGCCAAAATAAAATGTGAGAGTATAAAGTCGTGACCGAATCCCCACAATTTTTTTTTTTAAATTTAAGAGAAATATATTTATTATTGAAATATGAAAGTGTAGAGTCACGGTGAATTTCCGGAAAGTTCAAATAGTCACAAGGATATTTGCCGAAACTATTTGGTTAAATTTATGCTAATAAACCTCTATGCTTATGTCCTGAACCACCTTGAGCAGGACAAAAAAAATAGGTACATAGTAGTAGATGAGAAAGGGAGAAAGCTAAACCTAGTTTAGATAGTTAAAATTAAAAGAAAAGTAATAAATCAAGCCTTAACAAAAATACATTATCATCATGATTATGGTAAAGAAAAAAAAATCATTAGTCTTTAATTAACACTATAAAACTAATTAATGTACTGCATCTAGTATATTTATTATATTAATACACATCATATCATATGAAAATCACTATCATAAATGTATGGTAAAGTAATATTCACTTCTTTGCTTCTTCTGTTACTGGCTTTGGCTCTTCTGGTGGCGGAGGTGGTGGTGGTGGTGGTGGTGGTGGAGGTGGAGGTGGAGGTAATCCACCATCAATGCAACTTCTGCACCTTCTTTCTATCCAACCTTCAATATCATGCTCTCCATTGCTACCAAAATGTCTTCCACCGCATAGTCGAGCTATAATTCCTGCAATTACACCTACTATGGTGATCACTGCTAGAACAACCACCAATGTTTCTATTGACCGATGTGAATACCTGTTCGGCTCCGCCGTTGCTGGTGTTGGTGGTGGCTCAAGTATTGGTTGCAGTTGCTCATGTAAACTTGCCTTCAAGAATCCCATGATCTTTGTACTGTCTTCTTGACGATGAGTTTAAAGAAAAGAACAGAGATGAAAGTAAAATGTTATCCAGGGAAAAAACAGTAGGACTAGATTGAAAAATAGTGAAAGAAATAGGTAGTTGATAGTGAAAAGTGAGAGGAAAGTCTAAAAGTTTAGTATCAACTATCAAGAAAATGGAGAGATGAGAGAAAAGAAGAAGACTAACACGAGGAAGTAAGGTTTGGAAACTAAAGGGCAAAGAGATTGGGAAATGAGCAGATGGAGACACTATGAGAGACTGTATATATGTTGAAAGACAGAAAATGATGCTTTGGAGTAAATTATTAATTTATGGAAAATTTTTGCTTATATCTCTTTCATTTTTCTTTTAAATGTTTTTAATCATTTTACACCAAATGGGTTATAATAACTTTATAAAATATGTAGCAGAAATAGTCCTCTCTTTGAACAATAAATTATTAAACTCGAAATCTTTCACTAAGAAATTCAATTAGACATTTTTTTTAAACTTATTTTGTGTAATTTTTGGTTGGTGTGATTTTTGAGGTGTAAAACATAGGTGAAGGCCAAAAAGGCATTCTGCAGAATACTTAAAAAATCTTTTTCTATTCAATATAAGTTCAAATTTCAAAGGGTTAACTTCCAATTTTGTCAGTGCCTATATCATTGAATTTCACTACTGCAATAATAAACTCTTTTGATTTCTCTTCCCAATTTGTCCTAACCTATATCACATGCTGATGCTCATTATGCAAACCCCAAGAACTGAAAAAAAAAAAAAAAAAAGAAAAGAAAATTTACCACTTACCTTTTTTGAGACCTTCTCATTTTGTCCATAGTGTTTGCCATTATCTTGTCTCTTAGAAATGTGAGAATTTTTATTTTTTAGGTTTTACTTTCATTGGTGCCTTTTCCAGTTGGCTATTTTGTCAACTTGTTAGTGTTTTTTGATTTGTGTAATTCACCTAAAGGAAGGACCTTTCAACTAAAGGAAGGACCTTTCACAGTGACTCTTCAGAGGCAAGTCCTGACCTACCATGTGGTAAATGCAGAGGTTATAAATGTATGTATAATGCTTGTTTAGTTGTTCATATTTCATGTTTCTGTTGAATCATTTATAGATGTATTTTTAAAGAAACTTTAAGAAATAAAACGAGTACATTTACTTATAAGTTTTGACTCAATAATTCTGATACGTAAAGTTGCAAGTTCGAACCATAGATTGATTCGATAGTTTTGGCTCAGCTATATTTAATTGCGAGTTCGAACCCTAATCATAAATAAAATTAAAGTAAAAGTAGCATGTTTATTAATAAGTTTTGATTAAATTTTGTAAATCCATAAGTAATGATCATTTGTGTTAATATGATTTTAGATAGAGTGTCTTCAAAGAGGAAAAATTACAAGAACAAAGAAGGAAACTTTGTTCTACTTAGTGAAGATAATTATGAATTAAATAAAAATAATTTCAAAGAAAGGAAAAAAAAAAAAGATGTTTTTTTGACATTTAATAGAAGGCTATTATTTTACTTGTTTTCTCATTTTGGGCCTTGGTAGCCCAATGGGCATGTATGAGAGGACCTTGGATCTGTTATTGGATAATTCTTGTCTGGTCATAAAAAAAGCCCACAAAAAAAACGAGCGCAATTTCCTCGGAAAGGGAACTTAAGGCGTTTTCTGCAACGACTCCTTCATCGAATCGAACTTCTATTCCACGCTTCTTTTTTCTATATATGATGACTTCAAATTCAGCTTTCGGACAACATTGAATTCCAGAATCTCGCATTAAATCCCGGAAAAACCCAAATTCCGATTCTTTCTAATCCTAAATCCTCGCTTTCTTTTATTTATCTTATTAAGCTTTTATTCAACAATTCTTGTGATTACTGATTCTGGATTCCGAATTTCGATAATGGGGACACCGCAATTTCCCGATCTTGGTAAACATTGCAACAAAGAAGATTGCAGACAGATCGATTTCTTGCCTTTCACTTGCGACCGCTGCAGTCAGGTAAATTATGATTTGGGTGTTGGTCAATTTTTTTCATTAAGTTGATTTTGATCTTTTATTTGTTATGTTTGGGTTGTATTTGGATTGTAAAGAATTGAAGAAGTTGATTTATTTATTTATTACGCTCAGATCATTAAATCTTATTAGACCCAGGATTTTATATGTTTGAAAAACTTCATTAACCATTAAATGAAATAATTTCATTAGTCAGTGATTTGTTCATATCCATGAAATTATTCCGTTCTATCTTATGATATGAAAGAATTGTTCCTCAATGTAGTATATTAGAAGTTGAAACTTCAAATTGTATGCTGGTGCGTTTTATGGCAGTTATGCTGCAAAAACTAGCTTTGGTAGTGATTCGTCCAGGTTGTTTTTGGTGGAGTCTATAAATTGAAGGAGATGGATGCCTTTACTTTTAGTTTCTGTAAATTGTACTTCCAAAATTTTTGGGATTGGTTACCCATTGCCATTCCCAAAACTTCTGATCAAGTAATACTATTTAGTCGTTTCTTTTTGTGCAATAAGTGAATGTGTTTCTCTTATGAGGACATCCAAAGCATGTAAAGCCTGCTTAAGTTTTGATTTCTTGGTTTGATTATTTATTTGGGATGTTCTTCTTTTTGTCTTTCATCATGCTCAACTTTTGCAGTTATTGAATGAACTGTGCTAAAGAATTATTTGTATAATTTTGTAGATATTTTGTTTGGAGCACAGAAGTTATGCGAAGCACAATTGCCTGAAAGCTGATAGTAAGGATGTTACAGTTGTCATCTGTCCACTTTGTGCAAAAGGAGTTCGCCTAAATCCTGATGAAGACCCTAACATCTCTTGGGAAACTCATGTTAATACGGAGTGCGATCCATCAAATTATGACAAGGTCACAAAGAAGAGAAAATGCCCTGTCAGAGGTTGTAGGGAGGTACTTACATTCTCAAACACAATTAGATGCAGGGATTGCACCATAGACCATTGCTTGAAGCACCGGTTTGGACCTGACCACAGTTGTCCTGGACCCAAGAAGCCTGAGATGGGATTTCAATTTATGGCTCTTCTGAATAGGAGTAGAAAGGAAGAGTCAAAACCAAAGCAAAGCCAAGCAACTCCTTCAGGAAGGTGGGCCACAGCCTTCCGAAATGCAGCTTCAAGTGTTCGAGCCTCAGCTGAAGCAGGCATGGCAAAATTGAGTACTGAGATCAGCCAAGCTTTGCAGACTACAAAGAGTGATGCAGGCCCGAGCAGCACTGGTGGGCTAGAGGAAGAATGTCCACAATGTGGTGCACGGTTTTCCTCAGTTACAACTTTGGTGGAGCACGTGCAAAAACTTCATGAAAAGAGTGGCAATCAATATCGTGTCTTGAATTTGCCGGTAGATGTATGTCCCAAGTGTAGTAGAGGTTTTCGTGATCCAGTAGCACTTGTGGAGCATGTTGAGAGAGATCATGGAGGTACTTCGAAAGCTTAGAAAGTTTTGCCCATCAAAACAGAAAACTTCGCTTTCTCGTGTCAAGAAGTTGGACAGATGTATATCCCAAGTGCAGTAGAGGTTTGCATGATCCTGTGGCAGTTGTGGAGCATGTTGAGAGGGATCATGGAGGTACTTGAAAAGATAAAATTTTGCCCATCAAAACAGAAAATTCACTTTGAGATTAGTTATTTTTGTATTTTAAAATTTCAGTTGTGGCTTGATTTCATTAAATCTGAGGCTGCAGATGCTCAAATAACTTTTGAGCATTGAATTATTTTTAGGACTTGAAACTGAAATTTTCAATTCAAAATGTTTATATGAATAGTGTAAATTGGTAACAACCAAATTTTTTTTTCTTTCTTTTTACTTGATTTTTAAGATAATGAAGGATGTAGCATCTTTCGAGTTCTCTCCTACATGGATGAAGTTGATCATTGGATGTTTGCTTGTATTGCTTCCTTCCTAGTTATGGAGAGATCATGGACTGCTTGCATAATTGCATTTTAACAAAGTTAAGCATTTAATATTAATAGTCCCCCCAAAACAGCTGTCTCTTCATTCATTCATCTGTATTTATATAGCTAATGATGTTAATATCTGGAGTTTGCTTTAAGATATGGAAACTATTAAATCCATTTTTTAAACCTTTCTTGGTGGCCTCCATTAATTTGTATTGTGTCTGTTTCTCTCTCTATATAAGATGAAAAATTTTTATTTCTTTATTTATGTTCATTCATTACGAGGCATGAAACATTATGAGTACATAATAGGGAGACCCTTCTCATTTATGCATCAAATTAGTGAAAACTCTTATGGTCGAAAGATTTTGAATCTAATCAGATCACACTTGGTTAGATGAGAATTCTAGTGGTCATGAGGTTTCAAACCTAATCAGATCACGCTTGATTAGACATGAATAATTCTAGTGGACCTTTCAAAATTGTGTACATTAATAATTAGTGTAAAAAAATTATATAATTGGTCAAGAGATTTTGAACCTAATTAGACCACACCTGGTTAGACGAGAACTCTTGTGGCCGAGGGATTTTAAACTTAATCAGACCACACTTGGTTAGACGTGAATAAATCTAGTGGATCAATTTTCAAATTGTGTACATAATAATTGGTGTAAAAAATATATATATAATTGGTCAAAATATTTATGTTTTTTCTACTAATTTCATTCCTAAATTATTTGTCTGCAGTAGTCAAATTGTATATATTGACCAGCTAATAAGGCCATTTTTTTAAGTTTTAAACAAAAATTGTGTTCTTGGTTATCTATTTTCCAAATTTACTTTAATTCTATAAAAGCTATATCATTTATCGTTTTCATTTTGATCGGTTTGACTTTAGAGTTTAGACGTTAAAAACCATTTTGAATCTTTAAGGTTATAGCCACAATCAAATTCCCAATTGTGATTTTCTAAATAAAAACTTATCCACAGTAATTTCCCTAAAAAAAAAAAATCCCAAAAATGCAATTAATGCCTTGAACCTACATTTTTTCCCTTGACAGATGATAATGTAAATTCACTTTGAGAAATGGATATATAAATTATCAAAATGATTTGATAATTTTTTGACTAACATAACTGGTAAAATAATTAATTTAATTTTTTTTAAAAAATCAAATCATTGATCGTATATTAAATGGTAATTTGATTTTGGTCCCTAATATTAATTGCAATGTATAATTTACCTAAACTTAAGCTTTTGAATTGATTACATTGGTTAAGTATTGAGTGAGCTGAGAGAAAAACCAAGTCATTGACAAATAAATAATTTACTTCCATTTTGTATTTAAAAAAAATCATATGTACTAAAATTAATTTAAAAGCTAAATTTTCGTTAATATGGACATAATTGATAAGTTCAGGGAGCAAATTGTGAATTATTTGTGGATTAAAATGTTTGCGAACCGAACTCAGAGTAAACCGGAGGAGGTAAGAAAAACAAAAAAAAAAAAAAAAAAAAAAAAAAAACAAAAAAAAAAAAAAAACGGGTATTAACTGTCAAAATGTCAATGACAGCTTCAGATCATTCATTTGAACAAATAGTAATTAAAAATTAATAAAAAAGGACAATAAATTATTACCAAAAAGGAAATACTTCGATATAATGGGCCCAGTTTAATGCGTTTTGGACGTGTGGCGATTTCTTTATCATCTCGGTATGGCGCCGGCTCTCACTTAAAAAAAAAAAAAAAAAAAAAAAAAAAAAACGGGTAATTAACTGTCAAAATGTCATGACAGCTCAGATCATTCATTGAACAAATAGTAATTAAAAATTAATAAAAAAAGGACAAATAAAATATTACCAAAAAGGAAATACTTCGATATAATGGGGCCCAGTTATAATGCCGTTTTGGACGTGTGGCACTTCTTTATCATTCTCGGTATGGCGCCGGCTCTCATTACAATTTTTAGACAGAGAATTTTGGTTTTTAAAGAGAGAAAGAGACTCATTATATTTAGCGGTGATCGAAATGCTGGAATATCGGTGCCTCATTTGCATGGCTTAGAGCGATTTGCAGCCTCTGGTCAGCTCTTCTTGGTTCTGGTCAGGAGGTGAAAGATCCTATCAATATATCTTCATTGTTTCTTTTTAATTCAGTTTTCGAATTTCTTCTCATTTTTTTGTTAGTTCAAGTTAATTTTTGTACATAGTTATTAGGTTTGATTCTGTTTTTTTAGTTTTTTTTATTACTTTTTTTTTTTTTTTGGAATTTGCAATCTACATTGTTTTGGCTGTTCAACGTAGGATAGATACAATAATTGTACATAAAGTTTTTCAATTTTTAGACATTCTTAATTACCCATTTTTTTGAATTTTTGTAATCTACATTGTTTAGTGATTTTAAAAATATTGATTATACAGGCTGATAGTTCAATTTGAGGGCTGCCTATTTGAGTTTGAATCTTTCTTTCCCTTCTTGGTGCCAAAACCTGACTTTGTTTGGTTTTAGAAGGGAAAGAAAGAAAGCAATTAAGGGAAAATCGATCTTTTGTATTTTACGGATTTGCTGAATAGATTTGGAATCTGAACATGAGTGTAGTTTCTGGTGTAATTTCGAGGCAATTATTGCCCGCATGTGGTAGTCTTTGTTTCTTTTGCCCTGGTCTGAGGGCAAGGTCCAGACAGCCAATCAAGAGGTACAAGAAGATCATTTCTGGTATTTTTCCCCGAAACCAGGTTAGCATTCTTTCAGGTTAAGCATCCTTTACTTGTTTCTTGTTGCATTTCTTTATGTTGTAGTAACAAAGTTTCTCTATTGCTTGCTTAATTGTGTGTTTAATGATTAATGTAGGCAGCCTAAGAAATCACATGTTATTTAGCTGGGTTTATTCTATAGTTAATTAGGAAATCTCTCGGGTTCTATAATCCACTAATTCAATTCCAAGAATTTAAATGTGATTTCTTTTGTTTAGTGTTTTAAGCCAGTTGGAATTTGTGTCCTTTGTTGTTTCTTTATCTAATATTGAACTGTTTAGTTGCTTTTAGCATAATTCAGTTATTCTTTCCAACCACTGGATATTGTGTGTTTTAGCATGATGAACATGTATTTAATCAGCATAACCAACATTAACAACCAATTTTCATGATCTAATTAGAGATATTCTTATAGTTTTCAGTTAGTAATTTGAACTCACAATGTGTAAATTCTACAAGAACATAAAATATGTGAGTGGTAGACTTTTTCTTCCAACTTGGATTGTACATTTGTCAGGTATTAGAAAAGAGGACCATTAGGCATTTGGAAAATCAATTTACTTCAATTCCTGCATCTATGGATCCTGTTTTACATGTTTTAAGTTGAGAAGTGAATCCCATGTCAGAGTTCCATTTAATACTCATTATTGTTTTCCCTTTTCAACTCAGAATTCCGTTCTCGGACAACCTTGTTCTTCTTGTTTGCTGAATCTCAACCCTTTCTAATTTGGGGACTTGTGTATAGAGCGTTGTAAAAAATAGGTTCAGCATGACCTTTTGACCTTGCTTTCAATCCATTACAATTGAAATTCTCTGGGTGTCTTTTCCTCCTTCCATCTCAAATGAAGCTATTCAGTAGCAAAAAGTTAGTTGTTAAGCCTGATATGTTTCCGATTCTTCAAAATAGAAGCAAATAATAATGTATTTTGAGTTTTCTTTTGTTCATCTGGGAAGTGATTTCATTTCCAACATTATTTCTTCTGAATGGCAGGAGGATGGTCCTAATGAACGGATGATTGGGAAACTATGTGAATATGCTTCAAAAAATCCTTTGCGCATCCCAAAGGTATCATTATTTTCAATTATTTCATGTAAACCTCAAAAATATTTCCATATTTGTGTGAGCATATTATGTGAAAATTGCATGTGTCCCCACTCTCTCTCTCTCATGCGCACACGCAACACACACACGCATGCACGTGTGCACACTCACACTCATATTTATGTCTATGCTTATTTCATTTGTGCATCTGATTTGATTTCATGAGCGTTGATGTTAGAAATGATAGCTATTAGTTGTAAGTTGTCTATTTATTACAGTTCTTGGATGCCATATCCATGAAGTCAAATATATATTTTTTGAGCTGTATTTACTTTCTTTATCAAACTAATCGCAAGATTTTGTGCCTCCTTGATTTGCTCTCCTATTTGTAACAAATTTTGCTTTAATTTCTTCATGTTGTAGGAACATTGAAATTATATCTTTTATGCAGATTTGTACTTTTAGCTGAATAGACCTCATAGACTGATGGTAAAATATAAATAACAAACTAAGACATGTGAATTGTTGTTTGGTTAATGAAAGCTGTGAATTTGCTGATCAGATCACAAATTCTCTTGAACAAAGGTGTTACAAGGAACTGAGGAATGAGAACATTCACTCTGCCAAAATTGTGATATGCATTTACAGGAAATTGTTGACCTCTTGTAAGGAGCAAATGTAAGTTCATTCTTCTTCTGTTTTTACTCCTCCTTATGTATTTTATGAAATGTTTTAACTTACAGCATCTCAGTGTTCCATTGTTCAAAATAATTATTAGATCATAAATTCATCTCTTTATGTATTTTCTTTTTCATTATTTTTTGTTATTTATTTATTTCTTTGGAGGGCAGGTGAGCCACCAATATTTGTGAAGCTCTCTTGTGTGTTTGGATTAAATGGCTTTAAGGGGGTCAAACATATACACCTCTTGTACCCTTTGAATGGGGAAAGCACCTAAAGAGCTACATAAAAGTAGTAAAATCTTGATGAACTTGCAAGATTCAATAGTTGTCAACCTTTGGTGTCCATGTTTGGTAGAATTCCTTCTTAGCCTTTTGGAAAAATGAGAATATAATTAATTTCTTTGAGCACTGAGCATATTGAGAAAGCAAAATACACTAGAAGCATTTATTTCCGCTTGATTCTAGGCAGATTTGATTTGGTTAAAGTCCACTGGACTTTAATAGTCTAGTTCTTTGATTAGTATTACTTGACATTGTTGAGTTAGCAACTTAGCATGCAAATGGTTGATCTGGGGATTTCATTGTAACACACTTTTTATTAACTATTAACAATTATGGATTATGAAGGCCGGCTCGGTTTTATAATAAGGTCTTGAATACGTCATCTTTGATAATTCTTTTCAAGGTTGGGTATAAGTTATTCCTTGTTTAAACTGCAATAAGATTTTCTAATTAGAATTCAAAGGCTGTCAACCAAACATGTATGCTCAACAACTAAGTGGTGTTGTTTGCTTTCTGCTTATTTCTTCTTATCTCTAGCTAGATTTAATATGTCAACTATCCATATTGGTCTTTTTTCATTTTCTTTTTCTCCTTATTTTTCCCATTTTTCTCTTCCTTCCAATGTATGGCTGCTTTAATGATGGGATCAGGATCATTTCACAGGCCTCTGTTTGCAAGCAGCTTATTGAGCATTATGCATATTCTACTGGATCAAACACGACAGGGTGAACTACAACTTATAGGATGTGATACTCTTTTTGACTTTGTAAATAATCAGGTCAGTGCTGTTGGTTCCAATCTTCAATTAGGGTTTAGCACACATAAAAATATGTTAAAGCTTCAGCTTTCTCCATATGGGAAACTTGAAACTCACTTCATCTAAATGATTTTTACAGAAGGATGGAACTTTCATGTTTAATTTAGAAGGCTTTCTTCCTAAACTCTGTCAGTTAGCTCAAGAGGTAGGAGAAGATGATAGAGCAAAAAATCTACGTTCAGCGGGATTGCAAGCCCTCTCTTCAATGGTATTCTTTTCATGCCTTGCTTTTGAAAATATGGAAAAATAGTTCTTTTCTAAATTTATGATATTTAGTTATAACAATCCAATATCTTTCACTTCCAATTTGGCAATTTTCGTTTTCTAGAGGCACTTTCTCAGTTCTACTGGAATTTGTCAAGTTCTAATTTTATGAGGGAAAGATTTTGTTTGTGTTCTAAGCTTGTTTTTTTGTCAGCTCATCAATGCTATGAAAATGTTTTTTATTTTGAATACTGTCCATATGTTTGTCAGAATGTATAATAATAGAATTGGCTTTGGTTTTCTTTTTGAACAATAGTGATTGAATGAGTTAATACTTTGCATTTTAGAGTTAAATAGGGTTCTTGTATCACTGTTCCTTTGAGGATAATATGACTGATATATGAGTTCATGCTGAAGTTAAAGTGTGGCAAATTTAGAACTTTCACAAGTTTCTCGCCTATTAATTCTATTAGAGCCTTGCCTATACCTAACAGTTATCTTCATTTAGATATTATTAGAATATCAATGTTGTAATTTTATAAATATTTGAAACGAAGCTGGGAATCTGTTGTCACTGTTGTTTAGTAAGTGGTTATAGGTTTCAAGAATCAAGGATGTGTGAGTGTCACAACCAGATGTAGTCTCTCTTTATATTGAAGCCTTGTGAGACACATACAGGAAGCTGCTACTGCATTTTTGTGTCAAAAACTGATTACTGCAACTCCATATATGTGCTCTTATTCCTTAAGTATGCTGAGAGGCTGTGCAAGTAATTGGCTCAAAAACCTTTCCATTACCAGATAAATGATTTTTGTGACACTCTAATCTTGGAAACCTGGGTCTTCCACTTGTGTGGTTGCTCCATTGTGTTTTATAAAATAGATGGGGTTCTGTTCCTGGCACTGAGGAATGTCATAAAGGTCATGCTAGGGTTCTAGTTGCAATATAAGGTATGGGACTTCTCTTGGATCCCACATTGGAAGTATGAGATTTCAATGTGAGGTTTATATGAACATGGGCTCTCAAAACTCAAATGGCTAGCTTTTGGGATATGATTCTTCAAGGTCAGAAATTGGTAACACAGCCAACCACCTTCTCCCAGTTGCAATCGAGCAGTGTTGGTGCTGATGCCAGAATTGCAGTGTTTGCTCGGGGCTAGGTGGTCGCGAGGTGTGGTGGGATGTTAAGATCCTAGTGGCAAGACAATGTATGGAACTTGCCTTGAATTCTATTGGAAGTATGGGATTTCAATTAGGGGTTTATAAGAACTTGGGCTCTCCAACCTTAATGGCTAGCTTTTGAGATATGGTTCTCCAAGATTGGTTTTTGAGCTATGGTTCTCCAGGTTCATAACAGACCATAGCTTGGTCTGGATGTTATGGAGAACCATACATGCCAAGCATCAGAGGTCTTAAACATTGTGTTGTTCCATCCAAGTCGCTATAGAGCCAGGCTTAGTGTATATATATGTGTGTTTGGAGAGTGCAGACTGTAAAACTTACTAAAATGAATTTCCCAAGGTACATAAACTGCTATTTGTCATTTTGGGTTCATAGTACGTTATGAATTTATTGCATTCAAGTTTCACTTTATTGTTTCTTCAGCTCCTGGTCAATTACTGCATATACCTTGTGAACCTCTTGGAATGATAACAAAAGCAATTTAGTTTTGGTTGAAATATTGTTTCTGGTTGAAATATTGTTTCTTTTACACCATAACATATACTTTTTCAATCTTTTGAATGTTGAATGGATCATTTTCTTGTTCTGCAGATTTGGTTTATGGGTGAACACTCTCATATTTCAGTGGAGTTTGACAATGTAAGTGATTTTGATTTACTAAATGGCATTTTCCCACCTGTTGAGTTACTTTGCTAATTCCATCTGAGTTGGCAGCTTGTTTACGTAATGACTCTACGTTTAATACTTATAATTAAGCTTTTGATTTATTATTTCCATAAAGTGAAAAAATATATGTTGAATAATCTAGCATTTTCTTAATAAGTACTTCAGACATTGAGAGTATTAATTTGTTGTACTTAATTTTTTTTTTTTTTTTGGTACTTAGCATATTTAGCTAAATCTATTTTAAATTATAAATTTGCATCATTTGCTTATTTGTTAAGAAAATTGCAACTAATGCCAATATATTAGAGCGTGCTTTGTGATAATGGAAAAATATGAATGCTTCTTTCCTGAGTATGGCAAATATCTTTTTCAAGTGATGACATCTAATTTTAGCTCCTGTGCCAATTCAACCTTCATTGTTAATCAAACTAGTTATAAATGTAAAACATTAAAAGATTGTTGCATTTTTGCATAAGGAGGGGATCTTAAAGATCACTTAAAGGCACTATGAATGCTCTCTCATCTTGAAAAGAAAAGGAAGAGAAACGAAGAAAGCAATTGAGTTTTCTTGAGCCTTCTCAGATCCTTGCATTTAGCATAACAATGGTGTTTGAGAAGGGGAACCGAAAAAAATAGTGGGCCAAAGAGTCAAGTTGCTTTATATTTTATATTTTCTTTATTGACATGTAAAACAATGGTCCGAACGAGACATTTTGCTTAGCCAATTGCCCCGAGCTGGCAATTTGAAGCAAACAAATCCAATCACATGCTTTATTGGATTTCTGTTTTCTTCTTTCATACTTGAGGGTGGGGTTGGGGTACAAGAATAGAAGTTCTGTAATATACGACTGATATACATTTCATGTCGTTAAACAGATTGTTTCAGTCGTCCTGGAAAATTATGAAGGTTCTGTGAAAAATTCTGTGAACCTTGACGGTGACAAACAAGATCCTCCAGATAGGTGGGTGCAAGAAGTGCTAAAAAATGAAGGTCATGCGATTCATGCCAATCCTCAACCAGATTCTATGACAAGGGTTCCTTCTTGGAGGACAGTTGTAAATGAAAAAGGAGAAGTAAATGTGACAGCGTAATCTCTTAGCACAGGATTCTCTAAATAAATGTTTAATTTGAGTTGTTTCTTTTCATATATTGATCATTCTTTTATTTTGACAGGGAAGATGCACAGTCTCCCAGCTTTTGGTCCAGGGTCTGCTTGTATAACATGGCTCAGCTAGGGAAGGAGGCCACAAACATTCGCCGTGTATTGGAATCTTTGTTCCGTTACTTTGACTTTACGAATTTATGGTCTCTTGATTATGGTGTTGCCTACCCAGTTTTAAAGGATATGCAGTTGCTAATGGAAAATTCTGGTACTTATAGAGACTATAAACTTTTAATTCACATTTTTGAGTTTTTCGTAAATGTATGTTAAATCTACAGGATGACATTTCTGTTTTCTTTCGTTTTATCAATTACAGGACAATGTGACTAATCCCACTTTCTCATTTTCTTTTTTATGTTCTAAGGGCAAAATACACATGTTCTGTTGTCCACATTGATTAAGCATCTTGATCACAAAAATGTCCTTAAACAACCCAACATGCAGCTTGAGATTGTTGAGGTTACCACCTCTCTTGCTCGAGATGCAAAGGTAGAGTCTTCCATGGCAATAATGGGTGCAGTGAGTGATGTTATGAGACATTTGCGGAAAAGCATACAATGCTCTCTTGATGATGCAAATATGAGTGATGACATAAAAATTTGGAACAAAAAGTTTGGAGAAGCATTGGACAAATGCCTTGTGGAATTATCATATAAGGTATGTATACTCATCTCCAATAGTATTTCGCGCAATTTTATACCTAAAATTTCATTTTTGTGAACTTTGATCGGAAACACTGGTTGTCATACTTCCTTAGGTTTTGAAATTTATTATTTTCATTATCTCAATTCCTATGTAGTACCAAATGTTTTATTGGTGTGACTACTTAAAACTACGAGATAAAAACTGGATGCTACTGGTAAACAGGTTGGAGATGCTGGCCCAATTCTTGATGTTATGGCTGTGATGTTGGAAAATATCTCTACTGTTACGGTTATGGGCAGAACGACAATTTCAGCTGTTTATCGCACTGCTCAAATTGTAGCTCAAATACCAAATTTGTCCTATCAAAACAAGGTAAATTACAAGTTATAACATAGATTTTTTTAAGCTATTTAAAGTTATCTATTGTTGTTTCTGTTGCTTATTTTAGTACATGCTTCTCTTTTCCAGGCATTCCCTGAGACTTTATTTCATCACTTGCTCCGAGCTTTGATTCACCCTGACCATGAAATACGACTTGGGGCTCACCGCATCTTTTCTGTTGTTCTCGTGCCATCTTCAGTTGCCCCTTGTCAATCCTTAACCATACCTAAACCGAAGAAAGGTTTAGAACTTCGAACTCTTTCAAGAACTGTCTCAGTCTTTTCTTCCTCAGCTGCCCTTTTTGAGAAGATAAGGAAGGAGAATACTTACTTTAAGGAGAAGGGCTACCAAGACCATGAAGAAGCTGTTCTTGAGAGTGAACAAATTAGGAATGGGATGCTTGATACTTTGAAATTCTCAAAAAGTCGCGTCTACTCTATGAAAAATCCTCCTACACCTATAACTCCAGATGAAAATTCTGTGAGTGATTCTGACAAGGAAGCAGTAAGTTATGATTGCTAACCTATCATATCGTCATGGTTACTTGTTTACTTATCTCGCAGTTAGACTATCTATTCTCAATTCAAACTTTATAGTGGCACCTACTTTAATTTCAGTTGGCATTCCAGATATGGTCATAATTATGCTTGCTACTTAGCCATTTTGTTTTATCCGCTTGCTATATCATCTAAAATGATCCTAAAGAGACCTGGAAGGTGATTTTTTGGTTATATATGATTGTAAGAAGGTGTTTTTTCGGTTTCATCTATGCATTCAAAGGCCTTTTTAAAAAAAAAAAAAAAGACAAAAGCACAAAGAAATTCTTCTTCAAAAAGTGCAATATTTTCATTCATCTATGGAACCAGTACTAATCAATGTGCTAAAATTGCATTTGCATTGGCCTGGACTTAGTGCCAGCAAATAAGCTGAGCCAATAGTAAATTCATCCAAGCTGTTCTACTGACAAAAACTTTTGTGAACTCATTGCTTAATGGTATGAACCAAGTGCAAGCTTACTTTTAGAACTCATTTTTCTCGAGACATGTATGAATTAGGTGAACTCAAGGTCAGGAATTGGCTCATTTATAGACTTGTGAGTAAGCTCACGCATGGACTAAATAATGATGTTAGTATGATTTAGAATCTCATTATTTTATCTATAATATGCATAAACATACTTCTTGAGAATCAATGTAACGAAGTTTGTAAAATTACATTGAATTCCATATTACTTATGGTTGCTAAAGATATACAATCTATAATGAATGAAAATATTATAAAGCACTAGCATTGTTAAACCTGTTGAAAATTCTTAAATAAATTTTTGCGATTCCGTTACAGCTTTTGATTCAGAATTGTTACACATTATCCCTAGGTGAACAGTGCATGAAGCATCCCATATTCATGGGCTATTTGGGAGGGTTGATGTATGCAGTTTTCCCCGACTTTTGCAGATAGGCCATTTCTGTGGCTTGAACCCATGACCTCTAGGTTGTGAGTGGAGCAACTTGACTGTTACACCAAAGCCACCCTTTATACCATCTATATTACATGTAAATGCTTTTAGTAAGGATGCAAGTAAACTAAACCATTTATAAACAATTCAAGGTATCATAAAAAAATTTTCTGAACTTAATTTATAACCTGTTTAATAAAGAGCTAAATGTTAAAAAAGGCTTCAATGTAGTTGACTCATTCAACAAACAAGCCAAATCTGAATTAGAGGAAGCTTGAGTTTAAATTTAAAACTCATTTCATTTCCAAGCAGAGCTTGAATATGCCAAAAGTCAGCTTAGCCTAGCTCATATGTAACATTTGGGCTTCAATTTCATGTGCATATTACAAGTACTTTTGCCTGCAGTACGTTATCCTTATTTAGTGTGATTTTCTATCAAGTGCTTCAAATGATTAATCTGCAAGTGATTGTCAGAATCTATGCCTAATATCATTAATTAGTAATTGAATCTTTTATGTCTATTGAACCTCAGGCACAGGAATCTGCTTCTTTAAGGCTGAACAGCCGTCAGATTAGTCTCATGCTGACATCAATTTTTGCACAGTCTGTGTCTCCTTCAAATACACCCGAAAACTATGAAGCAATTGCTCATACATATAGCCTGGTTTTGCTGTTCTCTCGAGCAAAGGTAATTGAGTGATTGATATTACATGATAGTAATCTTGTGAATGAAGCTTTTGACTATGGCCTTCCAAAGAATAATTAAAAAAAAAAAATGTTAATGTATTCTATTCTATTGCAGTGCCATCTGTACTCTGTCTGTCGATAAGTTTGTTATCTCTTCAATATCTATATGAAAATTCTGTATGAAAATTTTTATTTTGGTTCACTAAGTTTTTTGTTAGCCGAGATTTCTCTTTCTTGTCATTGGTTCTTAAAAGCCATAAATGTGCTTTATTTTCCATGGTTGCTGCATGGTGCATCATTACCGTTATTTGCTACTACATATAACTAGGTCATCGTGGAATTTAAATTAAAAGATGTTGATATCATCAATAAGCTTTAATCTTTGACAGTTTTTCAGTGAGAAATGATGCAAAATTCACGTCTTCTGATGGTGAATATTTGTTGTTGATAATGCACGCCACTTTTCCCAAATGATTGCCCATAAATTTAAGTTGCATAATCCAACCTTATTTTCTTTTTCTCCTCTTTTTGGATTGCTTGTATTTTCATTTTATTATTTCTTTTGTCACAGAATTCTAGTCATGAGTCTTTAATACGAAGCTTTCAGCTTGCATTTTCCTTGAGAAACATTGGTGTTAATGCAGCAGGTAAGATCCTATTCTGCTTTCATTCCTATAGATTTTGATGTACAAATTTGGATCAAAACTAGTAAATGGCTTGTTTCATACATGATTATTATTCACAATTGGCAATAAGTTACCTCCATTAGATATGTGGATAAAATACAACCAGCAGAAATATCAAATTTGGACAGAAACCATTTCCTTACATAAAAATTTAACATGTCTGTTGTACTTGATAATGCATTAGGAATGGTCCATGTGGATGAGATATTGTAGAACTTAAGGTGTTTGTTATATGAACACATTCTTGCATGCTCTTTTCCCTTCTGATATCCAGCTAAAATAAAGCTTGTTTAGTGTATATAATAGACTTATTCATCTCATATAATGCATTTTCTTCTCTAAATTGATTCGTATGGGATCATGCAACTTCTCAACAACTTCTAATCCAATTCAAAGATTAATGGTTTAATGCCAAGAACAGCTCTTACCCACTTCTCCAAAGCATTGATTCCCTGTGAAAGAAATTTGTCGCCTTTTGTTTTATCTTAAACAAGTTGATAGCTTTACAGGGTTTCCTCATGTATACAAGGCTTTTACAAATGGCACCTTTGGTGATGAGATTTCCTGAAAATTGATGGCCACTCATAAGTCTTACATTTTTGAAATTTATAAAAAATATTTTCCGAATAAGTTTGTGCTCATCTAATTGTAATAGATCTTCCATGAGTTTACTGAACTCTTTTTCATTGATTTTGGGACAGCCTTTGATGCACAAGCATACAAAGATATATATATATATACTGCTTGATTCGCATATTCTCATTTGTAGTCCTACTACTGTCATGGTCAAGAGCAAGGAATGAACGATTTAAATTTGTAGTCTGAGATTTAACTCATAACGAACTTTTTCTATTTTTACAGTGCCACTCCCACCATCACGTCTTAGGTCACTCTTTACCTTGGCAACCTCAATGATCCTCTTTTCATCGAAAGCCTATAATATTGTTCCACTTGTTCAGCGTGCCAAGATGGTGCTTACAGAAAAAATGGTGTGTGAATCATTGCTTGCAGTCGCATGGGTTTACAACTTAATATTGAAACATCTATAAGCAGCTGCTTTGAAATTCCTATGTCCAACAAGGGCCATTTTTTTGAGAAAGATTCTTTTCTCATCTTTCATGTGCCTTATGGTAGATAAACTAAATAGTTTAACTAGGGCAGAATATTAAAAAAAAAAAAAACACACACACTAAATAGTTTAACTTACTATGGCTTTATACTTGGACCAGGTTGACCCATTTTTGCAATTGGTTGGGGATAGGAAGTTGAAGTCTGTTAATGCTGAAACCAACAACCTCACAAATCGTTATGGATCTAAGGAGGATGATGATTCTGCTCTGAAATTTCTTTCAGCAATGGATGTCACGGGAGACCAAAGCAAGGAATCCTTTGCTGCTGAGATTGTTAAGAGCTTGGAAAATTTGTCGAATGTAAAAGCTTTGATTTGAATTCTTTGAATATTGTGGTTTCATTTTAAATAATTTTTACCTGTCATGTTTCACATGTATATATTGGCAGTGATATATATTAACTTCCAATGCAGACTGAAATGTCCAGCGTCTATAAGGAGCTGCTTAATGAATTCTCACCTGATGAAGTACATCCATTGGGAGGCCAGTTTATGGATAATCTAGATCAGGTAGTTCAAACGGAAAATTTGTTACTGTGGCCACTGTCTTCCATTATTTCCCCTTTTATTCAGTTTGATACTTGTGACTGATATCATTCTGTTGTTATTGTGCAGCAGCGTGCTTCGGTGGTAACCATTGATGACGATTTATTTCTAGATTCCTCAGACGCTCTAGCCAAAACTAATAAGGCAGTGGTCTTCCAAGACCCCAAACTTTTGAGTGTCAATCAGCTTATTGAATCGGTACGTCCCAGCCATATTATGTTCCTGACAAACAGGAGAGCTTCGGTATTGTTGGTCTTATATAAAAAAAATTCATATTGAAGTTATTTTCCCATTCTGAAGTTATTGATGGCATTGAGGTGCTGCCTACTGTGGTCCTATGACCTTATTACACCTGTGTTTGGTTGCTTGGTGAAAATAAATAGATGAAAACCATAGTCACTGATACAAGCATTATTTATTCAGGTCTTGGACTCTGCACATCAAGTTGGAAGAGTCTCTGTAACTGCACCCGATGCAACTTATAAGGAAATGGTTAATCACTGTGAGACACTTCTAATTGGAAAGCAAAGGATGTCCAATGTGATGAGTGCCCAAATAAAACAGGAGAGCTTGGTTAACGCCCAACAGAATCGTGGCGAGGAGGCAAAAAAGGTTATTTCTTGTTCTAATGCTATTGTGGTATCCAATATGGTTTTTTCTCACTGCAGAAAATTTCAACATTGTCATACTTGTAAATGTGTGTGTATGACTTACATATAGATTTATTTATTGCGTAGGCATGTTTGGTTTCTCTGAATGTCTAAATCCGAAAATTCTATTCCAAGTTATATTTTTTAAATAACTAAATGGAATTTCTTGGTTATATTAAAAATTTTGCTTAAAAACATATATCATTTCAATATAAATTTAAGTTGTTCAAATGTAAAAATATCAAAAGAATTTGAATTCCTTCTGAAACAAAAAAAATTGGAATTCTGTTCCAAGAATTGCATTCCGTTCACAATTTTAGACCAAACATGACTTGATACATTGTCGTGCATGCTTATGCAATACCTTAGCATAACACATCTTATCTTAAACGCAGGCTGGCAATTCTTTCCATAATCTAAACATAAGTACAATCCCGCCAAGCTCGTCATCCGTTGGGAATCTTCCAATGCAATGTGCAACAGAATACCAACATCATCCCAACTTCTTCAGGTTACCACCCTCATGCCCATATGATAACTTCCTAAAAGCTGCTGGTTGTTGATACTAATGAAGCATGAGAACGAACTTCTTCCTCAGCTAGACAAGAAAACTGCCTTAGGCCTCACAGTTCAAGGAACATACATAAACTATTCTTAAAAGACAGCAGGTTCCTGCAGCATTGCAGCGTCAGAAATGCGAGCAAGATTGGTTGATCTTGTTAAGTTTCCTATTAAATTCTTTAATTCTTTAACCTTTCTTGCTTGTCTCTGTAAGATTTTGTGCAGTGACTTGCAATTTGCTTCTTCAATCACTTGGAGATTGAGCTTACAATCAAGGGTTCAATCTTCTTAGTATATAAAGAAAAATTATATGTTAATATGTCACTCTTTCCATCAATGGAGAGGGATAGAGAGTGTAAAATTCAGACTTGTAATCACATACATATAATATATTTATTTTGAGGGATGCAAGTTTAACAGGATCAAATCCTGTATTATTCTACAGGTTAGGGTTTTTTTTTTCTTTGTTTACTGCTAGGTGATATAATGGATATGTCAAGATTGAGAGATTCATGAGGAAGCAAAATAGATTTTTGCTATTGTTCCCAATGCCTCCATGGATCAAATATTATTAATTCATTATGTTATTTCTCTCTTTGTTTCTAATTTTCAACTTTTTGGGAGTATTATGTTCATTTTTCACCTTCATTTAAATCCATAAGTGTCTAGTGGTTCATATTTGAGAATTTCAATTCATAATATTTGGGTTTAAATTTTATTTCAATGAAATTAGAATTTAACATTTATTGAATTTTAATTATTTTTTTTAAATTATTAGTAAATTGTAAAGAAATATAATTCAAAATTATGTTTGATAAATTATAAAAAAACGTAATATAACTAAATATATATTTTTAATATATTCAATGGCTTCCATTATTATAAATCTTTAGTTCTTTATAATAATCGGCCCGGTTATCAGAAAATTGCACTTTTTCTAAAAAAAAAATCTTAAAAAATTAAATAAAAACATTAGCGGTTAAATTTATTTAAAATAGATGAATTTAAATTAGTTTTTTTAAATAAAGAAATAAAGAAAAAAAAAACGGAAGGGAAATAATGCAGGAAAACTACGTCAGTGCAACACGAAATCGTATTCTTAATTTTCGTTAAAACGTCACCGTTTTGCTTTACGCAATCGCCATCAAATCCAAGATTCTCTCATTTCGGTTTGACGTGGAGAAAGTAAAATAAAATAAATAAAAACTCGGCCTTTTCACCAGAAGTTTCAATACACATATCACAAAGAGACGCCTCTCGCCGTTAGTCGCCTCCGTAGATCGCAAACTCCATCGCTTTCGGTCAGTCTCTCTTCTCTCTCTCTCTCTTAGGGTTTCAATTCGCAGAATCCATAACTTGAAGACAATTAGGGTTTCTTTTGTTTAATCGTTCTTTTCTTACGGTTATGATTGTTCATATTTTTTATTTGCCTTTTGAATGTGTTGCCTTGATTGAGGGACATATATAGCAGTAGATGATGAGATTATTACGATAGACGAAAAATCTAAATCTGGTAAATAGAATAGAAAGGAAATTTAGATTTTGGGTTTGTAACAAATCTTTGCTCAAAGTGTTTAACTGCTTGGGTTTGAGGGATTACTTTAGGAATCTGGTGAATTTTAATTTCTGGAAATTAGAAATCTGTGATTTTTATGTTTCAAATTGTTTTTTTTTTTTTTTTTTTTTTTTTTTTTTTTATACTAACGCAGTAGATGATGAGATTTTAATTACGATAGAGCGAAAAAATCTAAATCTGGTAAATAGAATAGAAGAGGAAATTTTAGATTTTGGGTTTTGTAACAAATCTTTGCTCAAAGTGTTTTAACTGCTTGGGTTGAGGGCATTACTTTAGGAATCTGGTGAATTTTAATTTCTGGAAATTAGAAATCTGTGATTTTTTATGTTTCAAATTGTTTTTTTTTTTTTTTTTTTTTTTTTTTTTTTTGGGCTTGAAGATTATTTTTTTTTTTTTTTTTTTTTTTTTTTTTTTTTGGGCTTGAAGATTAATGCCTGGTGTGTTTGTGGAATTTTTTTCTTTTTTGTGTGTGCATGGGCATTTTTAGATTGATATAAAACAAAATAGGAGGTTTCTACTCACTGGCTTGTCTTTATACTGGTATTTTGAAACAAGAAGTTGCTTTTAATTTTGGGACTATGATTAAATTTTAGCTGATGGATGCTATCGTGCCTTCGTGGTTTACCCTTTTCCTTATGCATTTCCTTTTCCTTTTTTTCCCCACTATTTCGTCCCATTTGAATTGAAAACCTTACCATGTTCGGCTTATATATTAGTTGACATAAGGCTTGAGTTGATTGTTTTTAATTATAAACTGGGATTAATGGATTGCATGTTTTGTAAAAATTTGAAGGTTTTGTGCTTCATGTATTTTGACCTATTGGTATGCGAAGAAAGTTGCACATGAGACTTGGAATTCTTTTCAATTTAGAAGTTTATTATTTAATGTGAAGTATTCAATTTGGTATGTTAGCTTCTCACCCCACTCAGAAACGTCAGACAGCCTGATAGGTATCACAAGCCTTTATTGCTGGAGTGTCCCTTTTCTATCATGAGTGCTTTTACACATAAAGTTGTATTTTTCAATAACTAAATAAGAATGACACTAATGAGGTACAGAGAATGTATAGTTTATAGAAGGAAGTTTACTAAATCAAATTCATTAAATATGAAAGCTTGCAATAACTGAAGTAAATAGTAAAAAACAATTGTTTGTACTTCTGGGATCATGAGTGTAGATCCATATAATTGTCACTATTATTTGCCAACTTTTTGGAACTTATTGCATTGTATATTGCAATTACATTTATTTGATATTCATTTAAGATTTTTTCATGAGGTCTTCAATGTAATGTATCAACCATTTATACATGCAGAAAAAGGTGGTTGTAATGCTTCTTGCAAAAGCCACATTTTTAAAATTTCCGCAATGTTTATTCAATTATTCTGATAGTAATGTATGTTATGCCTTTCTGGGAATGTCTAGTGATGCGCCCTAATCCCTTGCATAATCCATCAGTAGTAATTCTGTCTTCTAATAGGTGAGAAGTCCTTGAATAGGGGCAAAGGTCGCATGATCTAGATACCTAGATTCTAGGTTGATTTTTATGACATAAACTAGAACAACCTTAGGTATGGCTTGTGTTCCTTATGTATGGCTTGTGGTTTGTAACTTCCTTTGTAAAAGCATTAATGCTTCTCTTTCTTGTTTTGAGTTCTTTCCTTTGCAGTTTAAGCATGGCCAAGTATATTATCGCTTCCATAGCTGGATCATTTGCAATTGCGTACGTATGTGACCAACTTATTGCTGACAAGAAGATATTTGGAGGTAGTTTTTATTGTCATCTTGGGTATCCATTTCATGTCTGTTTAATTAATATTTTTTAAAACCTTTATCTCTTTTTTTTTTTTTTTTTCTTCTTTTGAACTCAGGCACTACCCCTAAAACAGTTTCAGACAAGGAATGGTGGGAAGAAACTGATAAGAAGTTCCAGGCATGGCCTCGCACTGCTGGACCACCGGTGGTGATGAACCCAATCAGTCGCCAGAACTTCATCGTGAAGCCTCGTGAATCTTGAATCCAATTGTAGCTTTTATGATCTGTTGCTTGTTCTTTGCTATCTTTATTGGCAATGTTTTCTATTGTTTTAGTACTTCAACATAGCGACAATAGCTGATATGGCCTTTGTTTGATTTGTATTTTGCATGTTCTTCCTGAAAAAGGGTTTTGTTGACAAATGCTTCATCTTCACTAAATCAAAATAAATATCAGTAAAGGATTCAAAGCTGTTATGGTTTGTTTTGGGTTTATGTTTGTCTGCAATTGCTGTTTTTTTTTTTTTTTTTTTTTTTTGTTTGTCTGCAATTGATGTTTTTTTTTTTTTTTTTCTTTTTTTTTTACGAAATAAATTCTTAATTATTTTTTTTTTTTTTTTTTTTTTTTAGCAAATAAATTTCTTAATATTATTAGAAAAGAGAAAACAGGAAAAGAGTTTAACTAATTAATATTATTACAAAAGAGAAAACAGGGAAAGAGTTTTAACCAATTAATATTATTAGAAAAGAGAAAACAGGGAAAGAGTTTTAACTAATTCAGGAATTTAATTCAAGTCAATAAGTTTTTCTAATACACTTAAACTAAAACTTGAATCAGTTAAATAAAATCCTAAAACTTGAATCAGTTAAATAAAATTCGGAAAATAATTGAAAACAATTATGATAAGCTGGAAAATAATTATGATAAGCTTAAATCCTATTCTTGAGGTAAGAGTAAACAAATATAATCCACAATATTATAACTAAGCAAGAAAACTTTCTACAGCAGTTATTCTTTTCTTGGCTAAACCTTCTGCAGCATTTACTCTTTTCTTAGTTAGAAAATCTGCAAAATGATTTTTAGAACTGATACGAGGAAAACAAATGGACTGCCATAGATTAGATATACTCAATAGCCAATAGTCTTGTACGATACTCAATAGCCGACATTTTTTCTTGCTTCTAAGAGCCTTGCTCATGATTATTACTATTATTTTATTAAAAGGTATTTAAGTTTCATATTTAAAGATTTTGATATTTGTTTTACTTTTTCCATTCATAAATAAATATCATATTTGCAAAAGTATTATATTCACAAATAAGTTTCACATTTGTGGATTTTAAAAACAATAAATTTTTTTCTTCATTTTTACACTTTGCAAATGATGAACATTAATTGCTATAATTTTTTAAAATCTCTCTTTATTGAAAATAAAGGTAATATTATTAATTACTTAATAATTGTGTTACAAATTGGACAAATTGAATGGCTTTTTTTTTTTAATTTTTATTCCTTTATTTTTCATTAGAGTTGAAATTTCATTTTGCACAACGTAAATATAATTTTTCCAAATACTAAAAATCTATTGAAAAAAGGAGTGAAAGCAATCAGGTATAGTTTGGTTAGTTTTCTCACTCATGTAAGGAGTGAGATTTCGGATTCAAGTCCTCTTGACGGCAATTTGTTATTTTGGCTCGTTGAACCTCCCAAAAAGGGTGTAACTTTCTCCTGCAACAATGATATGTTAGAATTTAGAATGAGTGTAACAATGGGAGAATACAGAATCATAACATTAGTTGCACCATTTTTACACATTGAAGACATATCTTTACTTATTCACAAATAAAAGAATATACTTTTAAGTTACAATATTAAAATTGAGTACTTTGCTGAAAATGTCATGTAATCCAAATCATTTTGTAACAAGGGGAGAATATACAATAATTAACATCAGCTATTGTACCTGCCTTGCTCATCAAAAATGAATATCTTTTGATTATTGAATTCCACAAAGAAAAGAACATATACCTTAATTCACAGCATTAAAATTTGAATACTTGGTGAAACTGTCATGTTATAAAATGGGATGTTCATTAATTCTCATTTTAAGTTGATTCATTCATACCCATCTCATCAGAAACCAAAGCTCACTTTTTTGTTTTTCAAAAAAAGAAAAAAAAAATCATGTCTATAGAATCATTTGTTTTCAATGTTGCTGAAAAAGTATTGGAAAAGGTAGCTTCTACTGCCTACGATGAGATTTGTTTTGCATGGGGTTTAGAAGGGGAACTGAAAAAGCTTGAGGATATTTTGTCAACTGTAAAAGCTGTGCTGTTGGATGCAGAGGAGAAGCAGGCGACAAATCGCGAGCTGCGCGTTTGGTTGGCTAAGCTTAAAGAAGCTCTTTATGATGCTGAGGATGTTCTTGATGAATTTGAATGTGAGACAAAGAGAAGACAAGTGCTTAAACTATATGGAATCACCACCAAAAAGGTATGCCTCTTAATTAACCTTCATTCCTCCTATACATGACTTTGTTTGGATAGATCTATCCCATGGTAAATTTTTTTTATTTGCTTTTTTATTATTATTATTATTATTAATTGGAGGTAAAAATTGATTCAGAATAATATTATAGGTTAGACAATACATGTATATGAACTAAATTTGAAAATTATAAACGTTTTACCATATTATATCAAAATTAACTATTCTGTTCCCGTATTGTTTAAAATACATTATTGTATTCCTATCTTTTTTAGTATTATTATACACTATTATCCTTCTGTCTAAAAAAGTCAAATTTTTCGGTTCAATGACTTGTGAAAGGATACAAATACACTTAACTCTCTCTTAAATTTGCGTTTTTTACCGTATATGTCTCTTGAACCAAACTATGGAAACATCTCCATGGTTAAACGAAATCAAGATGAAAGCCAACCAATTAGGGTATCATATCACATCTCTTTGTTAGTTCGAGTTATGCAAGACTTCACAAACCAGTCAAAATGGAACAAAGATGATGTACAATGCAGCCTTTAACTCATCCCTATTCCTTTAACCAAGTTTGCGAACCGTGCAATTCTACAATTTGTAATAGAAAAGCTTTCACATAATTGTATATGTCTAAAATTAAAAAAAAAAAATAGAGGAGAGAAAAAGAGAGGGAGGAAGGAGTCATATTAGAGAGAAATAACTTGTTAGTAGATTTGTTTGGCAGTGGTGTGGTTGGTTTTGAGCGTTGTGATAATAAGGAGCAAGGGTTTTGGGGATGCAATTCTACGGAAGGGGCATTTGTGTCTTTGCCTACCCATTGCACGTCTAAAATCGACTAAACGGAAGTATAATGCAACGGCGGTAAAATAGGGGGATAAAATAACAGTATTTTTTTAAAAAAATGAGGACAAAGTAGTTAATTTTAACATTGCATAGAGACATGTTTATATGTTTTCCCATAACATAATTCTCTGTGATAATTAATTCATACATATGATTTGTTATAAACTCCGATATGATATGAGATTAAATATGGCTCAATGCATATTTGGATTTTTCAGGTGGGTCGCTTCTTTTCATCCTCTAATCCATTAGCATTTCGATTTAAAATGGGTCATAAAATAAAACAAGTAAGAGGGAGAATAGATGAGATTGCGAGTCATAGAACTAAATTTCACCTCAATGAACAATATGAAAGTAGACAGTTTGTGCATAGGACAAGGGAGATGACACACTCCTATGTGCAAGCTTCCGATATCATTGGAAGAGATGAAGATAAAGAAAAAATCATCGAACTTTTGACGAATCCTAGTGACAATAGGAAACTATCTGTTATTCCTATTAAAATCATCGAACTTTGACGAATCCTAGTGACAAAGGAAACTATCCTGTTATTCCTATTATTGGAATAGAGATTGGGGGGAAAACGAACTTGCTAACTAAATTGGTTTATAATGATGAAAGAGTAAATAGATGTTTTCAACTCAAGATATGGATATGTGTGTCAGAGGATTTTGATATAAAAATGTTAGTTGAAAAAATTATTCAATCAGCAACTGATAGTATAAAAAGCATAAGCAATTTGGAAATGGATCCATTGCAAAGAATGTTGCAAAAAACCATAGGTGACAAGAAATATTTACTTGTCTTAGATGATGTGTGGAATGATGACCCCATGAAATGGAATCAATTGAGAGAATTGTTGCTTATGGGTGGCAAAGGAAGTAAAATTTTGGTAACTACTCGTAGTGACCTAGTGGCCTCTGTTGTTGGCACCATCCCTTCTTATGAATTATGTGGTCTTCCCCATGATAAGTGTATGGCTTTATTTCTTAAATTTGCATTTAAAGAAGGCCAAAAGAAACACTATGCAAACTTGTTAAAAATTGGGGATGAAATTGTTAAAAAATGTAAAGGGGTTCCCTTAGCTGTGAAGACACTGGCCTCCTTGCTTTTTATGAGGACTGATGAAGATTACTGGAAATTTGTTAGAAACAATGAGTTGTGGAAATTAGAGCAGAAGGAAAATGAAATTTTGCCTGCTTTAAGATTAAGTTATGAGCAATTGCCATCTCACTTGAAAAGATGCTTTGCTTATTGTTCATTTTTTCCAAAGGACCATTCATTTGAAAGTCTTGCACTAGTTCAATTTTGGATGGCATATGGACTTATTCAATCATCAAATGAGAATGAAGAGCTAGAAGATATTGGTTTTCATTATATTCAAGAGTTAGCATCTAGATCTTTTTTCCAAGACATCGAATATGAATTTGGCGGTATACTTGTTGTATTTAAAATGCATGATCTAATGCATGATCTCGCATTATCATTGATGCAAAATGAATGTGTTGGATTTAATTTTCTATTGTGGGCTTAATATGTAAAATTAAATATGTACAGCAGTCTAATTGTAAAGTCAATTTCAAATGTGGTATTGATTGTGAATAATTGACTATTTGAATAATTGACTATTGAGGTGTCAACTAATTATAGATATTAAGTGGAGAGACCATTATATAATTTCTATTTCGTTAAAGGACTGAAATAGGAATTGTACTAACCCTACAGGTATATAAAGGTCCTGGTCCCCAGAAGAGTTGAATACGATTCAGTTTTACGTTCCTTTCGTACTGCTTCCGCTAAATCGATTCTTCAATTCTCTGGAAGGCTGCAAACCTAATCTATACATCAAGATCGGACGAATCGATGTTCAGGTACGCAACCATTTTTTCTTTCATCTATTTTGTTGATCTAGTGGGGTTTCACGATATAGGTTATGTGGAATTATTTGAGATTAATTTTTTTTAAACCAAGTGGTATCAGAACCTTTGTGCAATTGCTAGATTTTAGATTGATTTTCGTTGTTTTTTTTATTGTTTCCCTACTGTTTACGGATTGAGGGTTTTGTTTTAATAACAAAAAAAAAATAAAAATTTTTTTTTGTTCTCAACTGTTCTTCGGATTCCCCAAGAACAGTAAGAGGTTTGAACTAACGCCCAATGTGCGACGATTATTGTTCGTTTTTTTTTTTTTTTTTTTTTTTTTTTTCTAGCCGGATCTTGTTTTAAAAAAAAAAAACCTGAAAACCTCCATTGTTGCTGGCAGATTTGTTTTGAAATTGCAGTTTAGGGATTTGTGATTTCAACAACGGTTTTTGACTCCCTTGGCTGTCGTTCACCGTCCAATGGCGACCGGAGCTTGTCTTTGGTTGGAACTGGTGGTGTTGGCGGCGGAAAGAGGCTGGAACTGCAGGTGGAGAGAGTCGGCAGAAAAAAAAAAACCTGTAATTTTCGTCTCTGGTCTTTTTTTTGGTTTTAAGGTTAGGGATGGTAAATTACGGTTAGGTCCCTGGAAAATTTCGTATTAGGCCCCTAAGTTTCTATAACTTCAGATTAGGCCCATAATTTTCTTTAACTTCAGATTAGGCCCCTAAGTTTCTGTAACTATTTAAAATTTGGCAATTGTTTTTTTGTTTTATTACAATTAAATGAATTTATATGTTCGGACTTGAAGATAAATGTTTGCTAGAGTGATTAAATCCCTTATGTGTTTTTGTATATTTGTGTAAAGAAAATATGAAATTGGGATTTGATCAATAAAGTCACTCAAAGTGACCCTCTATTGCTTGAATTGATTTATTTTAGAATATTAGACAGGTGGTAATTAGAATTCGTTGCGGATAGGTTAATCGGCCCAAAGGAATTGCTAATCAGCTGAGTTTTGAATACAATGGTTGGCAATAACAATAAGTATGTGATAATTGTTTGATTATTTTCCATGACAATGATATATCGGTCCAAAGGAAGATTTATTATTTGTCAGGACTATGTTATCAATATTTGATTGCTGCGTTGAGATACTAATTACAAGTGAATATTTTACATCCAAAGATGAGAATATTAATGTTGAGTCTGTATCTTATTTCCATTTTTATCTCTACTTATGTGAATTGTTTCATTTGTGAATTGTGAGCTTATACTTATCTATTTGTTTATTTTCTCTGATGTCAGCTAACATGTCATTTAATCCTGATTGTGTCCCTAAACTTAAGGGATCAAATTTTGAGTCTTGGAAATCAGACATTATGATCTTTCTGGGCTGTATGGATTTGGATCTTGCATTCAGGATGGACGAACCTGCTCCTCTTTTACTGCTACGAGCACTGATGTTCAAAGGGTTCAGTATGAGAAGCGGGAGCGTTCTAATCGCTTAGGTCTGATGATCATGCAGAAAGGAGTACCAGAACATGTTCGAGACTCTGTCTCAGCTGAAAAGAACAATGCTCAAAACTATCTTGCCGAGCTGGAGAGGGCTTATGTCAAGAATGACAAAGCCGAAGAATGACAAAGCCGAAGTGAGAACACTTTTAGGAAAATTAACCTCCATGAAGTTTGCTGGCAATGGTGGTGCTCGGGAGCATATTCTTAGCATGTCTCAGATTGCAAAGAGACTGAAGGTGCTGGGTATGGCTTTACCAGATGACCTTTTAGTCCATTTGGTTATGAATTCTCTTCCTTCTCAGTATGGACAAATTAGGACTTCCTATAATTGTCAGCCGAATAAATGGACTCTTAACGAGCTCATTTCTCATTGTGTTGATGAGGAGGATCATTGTGTTGATGAGGAGGAAAAGATGAATTCTAACAAAAGAGAGAGTGCTCATTTTGTTTCTTCAGCTGAGAAGGGCAAGAACAAGAAAAGAAAGAGGCCTTCTGCAAAGACTGTTGAAAAGGCTATTGAGAAACCTGCTGTTGCTACTGCTGTAGATCCAGTACAAAAGAAGCCTTATGTGCCAAAATGCTTCTTTTGTGGAAAGACGGATCACTTGAGAAAGGACTGTCCTAAATTTGCTAATTGGCTTGCAAAGAGGGGTAAGTACCTTGTGAAGGGTAAGTACCTTGTTTTAGTCCTGTTTGTGATTGTGAAGTTAATTTAACTTCAGCTCCTAAAAACACTTATTGGATGGATTCTGGTGCTACCGCTCATATAAGTGTTTCATTGCAGGGCTGCCTCAACCACAGAAAGCCAACTGACGGTGAAAAATACGTCTATGTGGGAAATGGCAATCCGGTTGAAGTAGAGGCAATTGGACATTTTAGATTATGTTTAAGTACTGGTTATTTTTTGGATCTCATAGATACTTTTGTTATTCCCTCTTTTAGAAGGAATTTGATTTCTGTTTCCTTTTTGGACAAATCTGGTTTTCATTGTTCTTTTGGAGACAGGGAGACACGGTATTTACTTTATCTATGAATTCAAAAGTTTGGTACTGGCTTGCTTTTGGTTGCTTGAATGAATGTGATAATCTATATATGTTAGACATTGATACTAGTTATCATGAATCCCTGCATGTTACTACAAGAGGTACCAAAAGAAAATTGAATATTGAGCTGTACTTTGGCATAGACGTTTGGGTCATGTATCCAAATCAAGAATTGAGCGTCTTGTTTCTGATGGTATCTTAGATACACTTGATTACACAGTTTTGGATTCTTGTATTGAGTGTATTAAAGGAAAACAGACTAAATAAAAAAGACTAGGTGCCATTCGGTCATACAGACTGATTCATACAGATATTTGTGGTCCATTCCATATTGCAGCTAGAAATGCAGCTAGAAATGGCCAAAGATATTTTATATCATTCATTGATGACTATTCTCTTTATGGTTACTTATATCTCATTCATGAAAAATCTGAGTCTTTGGACGTGTTTAAATCTTATAAAGCTGAAGTTGAAAATCAACTGGGAGAGAAGATTAAATCTGTTCGATCTGACCGTGGTGGTGAATATTATGGTAAATATGACGGTTCAGGCGAACAACGTCCAGGACCTTTTCGCTTTTCCTACAGGAATGTGGAATTGTCCCTCAATATACAATGCCTGGTACTCCCAGCATGAATGGTGTATCTGAGAGACGTAATAGGACTCTTATGCTCTTATGGATATGGTGAGGAAGTATGAATTAGTCACTACTTACCCCAGAGTCTCTGTGGGGTTGAAGCGTTAAAGACAACAGCTTATCTTCTCAATAGGAATTCCATCTAAAGCATTTGCTAAACGACACCTTATGAACTTGACTGGACGTAAGCCTAATCTAAAGCATCTTCATGTTTGGGGAATGTCCAGCTGGAGCAAGGCCTTTACAAGCCGAATGAAACAAAACTTGGACTCCAAAACTATCAGCAGCTACTTTGTTGGATATCTGACGGTCTAGGGGTTACAAGTTTTATAATCCCCTACTTTATAATCCTACTTCCAGAACTTTTTTTTGAAACGAGAATTGCAACATTTTTTGAGGATGTTGATTTTGGAGGGAGAAATAAAGAAAGAAACATTGTCTTTAAAGAGGAACCAAGTAAGGATGATTCGGTTCTCATTCCTTTTGTTGTTTCTGATAGCGTACAGACTCCAGTTGCTCCTGTCACTATTCAAGATCCAATTCCAGACAATGCTATTCTTCCTTAAGAACAAATTCAACAACCTCAAGAATTAGAGTCTGTTCAAATGCCTTTGAGGAGATCTACTAGGGAGAGAAGAAGTGAAGTGCTATTCCAGATGATTATATAGTGTTTCTTCAGGAACATGAGGATACTGTAGAACATGATAGATGATGATCCAGTTAGTTTCTATCATGCCATGCAGAGTTCTAACTCTCATAAGTGGATTGAGGCAATGAACGAAGAGTATAAGTCTATTGCAAGACAATCAAAGTTTTTTGGGATCTTGTTCAATTACCTGAAGGAAAGAAACCCATTGGTTGCAAATGGATATTTAAAACCAAAAGGGATTCTCAAGGTAATGTGGAAAGATATAACGCACGTCTTGTAGCAAAAGGCTTTACTCAAAAGGAAGGGACTGACTATAAAGAAACCTTCTCTCCAGTTTCTTCGAAGGATTCTTTTAGGACAATCATGGACTTAGTTGCAAATCTTGATCTTGAGCTTCATCAAATAGATGTTAAGACTACGTTTCTCAATGGCAACATTGATGAAACAATATATATGGTGCAACCAGAAAATTTTGTAATTGGAGATCCAAAACATCTGGTATGCAAATTAAAGAAATCCATTTATGGACTCAAGCGAGCTTCTCGTCAATGGTACTTTAAGTTCAACTAAGTAATTGTCTCGTTTGGCTTTGAGGCAAATGTGAGGCAAATGCTGTTGGAAAAATTGTGTGTACCATAAGGTTCAGTGGAGTAGGTTTATCTTTTTGGTCTTATAGTGGATGACATTACTTCTTTGCTCCTAATTTGTAAAGGTCTTGCTGATGAAAACCAAAACGTTTTTCTTTCAAAGCATTGTTGAGATGAAAAATTTAGTGAGCTTCTTTTGTTTTAGGGATTCAGATACATCGAGACGTCTCAAGGTATTCTTGGATTATTTCACAAAAGAGCTATATTGGATAAAGTGCTCAAGAGATTTAGTATGCAAAGACCATTGGATACCCCTATTGCAAAAGGTGATAAATTTAGTAATCAACAATGTCCAAAGAGTGAACTTGAAATTTAGGAAATGCAAAAGGTTCCTTATACGTCAGCTATAGGAAGTCTTATGTATGTTAAAGTTTGTACTCGTCCAGACATTTCTTTTATAGTTGGCATGTTAGGTAGATATCTCAGCAATCTAGGAATGGATCATTGGAAAGCAGCCAAAAGAGCCATGAGATATCTTCAGAGGACTAAGGGACATATGCTCACATATAGGAGATCAGATCAGCTTGAGATCATTGGGTATACTGATTCTGATTTCGCTGGAATTCTGATTTCGCTGGATGCCAAGACAAGTAGAAAATCCGCATTTTGGGCTACGTTTTTTCTATTGGCTGCGGTGCTATTTCTTGGAAGCAGTGGTGAACCAAACTCTAGTAGCAACCTCCACCATGGAAGCTGAATTTGTAGCATCTTATGAGGCATCCAATCAAGCTATTTGGTTGAGAAACCTTGTCACTGGGCTGCGTGTAGTAGGTGGAATAGAAAGACCACTGAAGTTGTATTGTGACAGCAGGTCAGTCGTTTTATTCTCCAACAACAACAGGAGCTCTTCTCGATCAAAACACATTGAACATTGAGATTAAGTTCTTGGCTGTGAAGGAGAGGGTACAGAGTGGACAGATATCCTTAGAGCATATTGGAACAAACTCTATGATTGCGGATCCGCTTGCAAAGGCAGTGATACCGAAAGTTTTCCATGAGCACACCGCTCATATGGGTATCGTTTTGTTTGAGACTGTCTAGTTTTAGTGGGAGTCTGCTCTTTATGTATACATTATGGTTTTGAATGCTCTATTTTGTTTTGGATATGTTTTATCATGAAATTTTGTTGAGTACTCATTTTGGTTGATGGTTACACTCTGTATTATTATTATTGTTTGTATTATTATTGTTTTGCTTGATCTCACTTTTGTTGGTGACCAGTTGGAAACAAACATGATGATCACATTACATTTAGTTTTCATCCTACACTTCTATAATGAATCTGTGTCATTTAGGGGTATTGGTAAGGTAGTTGATGATGAACTTAGTCATAAGATCTATGGCGAATGTTTCTTCAGCTCTTTATCAATATAATTAATGGACGAGATTGTTTTTGGATACCTCGTATGACTGCGTTTGTTGAGCTCATTTTGGTGTATGTATTTTATTTAACATACATAATGTCGCCCAAGTGGGAGATTGTTGGATTTAATTTTCTATTGTGGGCTTAATATGTAAAATTAAATATGTACAGCAGTCTAATTATAAAGTCAATTTTAAATGCGGTCTTGATTGTGAATAATTGACTATTGAGGTATCAACTAATTATAGATATTAAGTGTAGAGACCATTATATAATTCCTATTTCTTTAAAGGACCGAAATAGGAATTGTACTAACATTGTACTACCTTTACAGGTATTATTAAAGGTCGTTGGGTCCCCAGAGGAGTTGAATACCGATCAGTTTTACGTTCCTTTCGTACTGCTTCCGCAAAATCGACTTCTTTCAATTCTCTGGAGGCTGCAACCTTAAATTCTATACATCAAGAATCGAACGAATAACGGATGTCAGGTACGCAACTTTTTCTTATTCAATCTATTTTGTTTGAATCTAGTGGTTTGCACGATATAGGTTATGTTGGGATTATTTGAGATTAATCTTTAATACGCAACCTTTTCTTATTCAATCTATTTTGTTGAATCTAGTGGTTTGCACGATATAGGTTATTGTGGAATTATTTGAGATTAATTCTTAACAGAATGCGCTATCATAACCTCTACCACCAAACGCTTCTCTAAGAATATTCGGCATTTGTTATTTTCCAATGACAATTCACTTCCCCAAGATTTTCCTACCATTTTACAAACTGTGGATCAGGTGCAGAGGAGAAGCAGGCGACAAATCGCGAGCTGCGCGTTTGGTTGGCTAAGCTTAAAGAAGCTCTTTATGATGCTGAGGATGTTCTTGATGAATTTGAATGTGAGACTAAGAGAAGACAAGTGCTTAAACTATAAGGAACCACCACCAAAAAGGTATGCCTCTTAATTAACCTTTATTCCTCCTCTACATGACTTTGTTTGGATAGATCTATCCCATAGTAAATTTATTTCATTTGCTTTTTTTATTATTATTATTAATTGGAGGTAAAAATTGAATTAGAATAATTTATAGGTTAGACAACACACGTATATGAACTAAAATTTGAAAATTATAAACGTTTCGCCATATTATATCAAAATTAACTATTTTGTCCCCGTATTTTTTAAAATACATTATTGTATTCCTATCTTTTTTAGTATTATTATACACTATTATCCTTCTGTCTAAAAAAGTCAAATTTTTCTGTTAAATAACTTGTGAAAGAATATAAATACCCTTAACTCTCTCTTAAATTTGCATTTTTTAACGTATATGTCTCTTGAACCAAACTATGGAAACATCTCCATGGTTAAACGAAATCAAGATGATAGCCAACCAATTAGGGTATCATTTCACATCTCTTTGTTAGTTCGAGTTATGCGAGACTTCACAAACCAGTCAAAATGGAACAAAGGTGATGTACAATGCAGCCTTTAACTCATCCCTATTCCTATAACCAAGTTTGCGAATCGTTCAATTCTACAATTTGTAATAGAAAAGCTTTCACATAATTGTATATGTCTAAAATTTGGAAAAAAAAAAAACGGAGGAGAGAAAAAGAGAGGGAGGAAGGAGTCATATTAGAGATAAATAACTTGTTATTAGATTTGTTTGGCAGTGGAGTGGTTGGTTTTGAGCGTTGTGATAATGAGGAGCAAGGGTTTTGGGGATGCAATTCTAAGGAAGGGGCATTTGTGTCTTTGCCTACCAATTCAACGTCTAAAATCCACTAAATGGAACTATAGTGTAATGGCGGTAAAATATGGGATAAAATAATCTATTTTTTTAAAAAAATGAGGACAAAGTAGTTAATTTTAACATTCTATAGAGACATATTTATATGTTTTCCCATAACATAATTCTCTATGATAATTAATTCATGCATGTGATTTGTTACAAACTCCGATATGATAAGAGATTAAATATGGTACAATGCATATTTGAATTTTTCAGGTGCGTCGCTTCTTTTCATCCTCTAATCCATTAGCATTTCGGTTTAAAATGGGTCATAAAATAAAACAAGTAAGAGAGAGAATAGATGAGATTGCAAGTCATAGAACTAAATTTCAAGTCATAGAACTAAATTTCACCTCAATGAACAATATGAAAGTAGACAGTTTGTGCATAAGACAAGGGAGATGACACACTCCTATGTGCAAGCTTCTGATATCATTGGAAGAGATGAAGATAAAGAAAAAATCATCGAACTTTTGACGAATCCTAGTGACAATAGGAAACTATCTGTTATTCCTATTGTTGGAATAGGAGGACTGGGGAAAACTGCACTTGCTAAATTGGTTTATAATGATGAAAGAGTAAATAGATGTTTTCAACTCAAGATATGGATATGTGTGTCTGAGGATTTTGATACAAAAATGTTAGTTGAAAAAATTATTCAATCAGCAACTGATAGTATAAAAAGCATAAGCAATTTGGAAATGGATCCATTGCAAAGAAAGTTGCAAAAAACCATAGGTGACAAGAAATAAAAACCATAGGTGACAAGAAATATTTACTTGTCTTAGATGATGTGTGGAATGATGACCCCATGAAATGGAATCAATTGAGAGAATTGTTGCTTATGGGTGGCAAAGGAAGTAAAATTTTGGTAAGTACTCGTAGTGACCTAGTGGCCTCTGTTGTTGGCACCATCCCTACTTATGAATTATGTGGTCTTAGTCATGATAAGTGTATGGCTTTATTTCTTAAATTTGCATTTAAAGAAGGCCAAAAGAAACACTATTCAAACTTGTTAAAAATTGGGGATGAAATTGTTAAAAAATGTAGAGGGGTTCCCTTAGCTGTGAAGACACTGGCCTCCTTGCTTTTTATGAGGACTGATGAAGATTACTGGAAATTTGTTAGAGACAATGAGTTTTGGAAATTAGAGCAGAAAGGAAAATGAAATTTTGCCTGCTTTAAGATTAAGTTATGAGCAATTGCCATCTCACTTGAAAAGATGCTTTGCTTATTGTTCATTTTTTCCAAAGGACCATTCATTTGAAAGTCTTGTACTAGTTCAATTTTGGATGGCATATGGACTTATTCAATCATCAAATGAGAATGAAGAGCTAGAAGATATTGGTTTTCGTTATATTCAAGAGTTAGCATCTAGATCTTTTATTGGTTTTCGTTATATTCAAGAGTTAGCATCTAGATCTTTTTTCCAAGACATCGAATATGAATTTGGCGGTATACTTGTTGTATTTAAAATGCATGATCTAATGCATGATCTCGCATTATCATTGATGCAAAATGAATGCGCTATCATAACCTCTACCACCAAACGCTTCTCTAAGAATATTCGGCATTTGTTATTTTCCAATGACAATTCACTTCCCAAAGATTTTCCTACCATTTTACAGACTGTGAATCAGGTGCGAACAATTCGTTTTTTGAATGAAGAAAAAGGCATCAACAGCAAATCAATCTTAAACCCAAATGTGTTTAGATTTCGATTTCTGCAAACATTGGAATTAAGTAATTTAAATTTGGAGTTACAGGTGGAAAAGATTGGTAATTTAAAGCATTTGAGATTTCTCCATTTACATGGAAATGCTAAAAGTATAAAAGTCCATAATTCTATTTGCAAGTTACAAAATCTGCAAACTTTGATGATTTGCAAAGGAATAGAGGAGTTACCCACTGATATAAGGTACTTGATAAGCCTTAGGTTTCTACTAATAACAACAAAAGAGAAACGATTGTCAAATAATGGAATAGGGTGCTTGAAATCTCTTCGATTTTTGCTCATTGGTCGTTCTGCAAATTTAGAATTTTTATTCGAAGATATGCAAGGTCTTAATCAACTTCGTTGCTTAGTTATCAATGAATGTGAAAGCTTAATCTCTTTGCCGCAAGGTATGAAATACCTAGTTGCGTTGAAGACTCTTTGCATTTCAGATTGTGAAAACCTTGATTTGGCAACAGAAGAAGGAAAAATTAATGGTGAAGGGTTGAGACTTGAGAAATTGATCCTTAAAGAGTTGCCAAAATTGGTGAATATTCCATATTGGCTTCTTCAAGGATCCAAGTACACTCTACAACTCTTACATCTTAAAGCTTCTGTTTATGTATGGCAATTTATGCAGTCTCTACGCAAGTGCTTGTGACATTCTATTAATTAAGGTAAAATTAGCATCTAATTCAACTTTACATTATTTTTATTTTATTTACTAAACTTGATTGATTAGTATTACCTTTCCAATACAAGCTTATATATGTACTCTGTCAACACCAATGGATTAGACTTGTTTAAACTCAGGATTGTGATTCCACTCATATATCAAGTTAGTGAATTTATAAATTTTTTTAAAAAAATACTCATGTTTTATTTTTTTTCAGTATATAGTCAAAAATACATTCGTTTAAAAAAATTATTTTTTATTAGTTTGACTATGAATAAACTCATAGACCAAACTCTAGGTTTTTAGTATTGCTCATGCTCTTCTTATTTTTGTGAAAATTCCCTCTTCTCATTTGCTTTTCGACTTCTATTGCAGCTATCATATTCATGTGGGGATGCAACTGAGCTGCAGGAAGTTTTAATGTTATTTACATTATTAAATTATTTTCACTTTGTAGGTTAATTTATATTGTAATAATTCCAACTCCTTATGTAAATTGCATGTATTTTTAATGTAAATAATGTTTGGAATGGAAACATCTTTCCATTATAGTACTATCCGTATTTCTCTTGCAACACTCATTTAAGGAAATTTGTAAAAATATTTACTAATAAATTTAAATCTAAAAATCCTATTAAATTTTTGAATCTATTACTAAAATGAAAGTGATTGAATTTAATGAAATTAAAAAAAATTATATAATGTATTTTTTTTAAGTATCCAATACATATTCAGAAGTGTTTAAATTAAAGATGTCAGTGTATATTATAATACCAACCCATAGCATATTAAACTTTTAAAGTGCTTTTGCAAGCTAAATGAACACTATATTTAGATAAATTGGTAAAAAATAAAATAAAATAATTCAAAAAAGCATTTTTTAAAAAAAGATTCATTATTTTCCCTCTATTTTAAAAAAGAAAAATAAGGAATGCATATTGGCATTCTTTTTTCCCATTAGGTACAAGTTCTCTTATCCCTCCCTTCATCTAATTGTTACAGTTTAATGCATCAACCTTTTACACGTGCAAAAAAGCCTTCCACGTGGGAAATTCTTCTTGCAAATGCATATATATATATACGTGGAAATTCTTCTTGCCAAATGCATATATATATCTATATATATATTATATATATATATATATTATTATAATTATTGATATATAATTATTGTCATATGTATGCGAAGCTGGAAAGCGATCCCAAGTCACATATATGACTATGTTTTTTATTCCTGTCTTTGCTGTAAAATTGTTTATAACTCGAATAGGTTTTGCATCAAACAAAATTGATAAAATCATTTCCGATTTTAAATTTTTTTCTAATTCGAACAAATTTAGATTGATTCAATTTTATTTTTGAACAGATTTTTAATCTATCTGTACACTGAATCGAAACAAAAATCTAAAATTAAAATTACCGAAAATAATGAATTGGATAAAATCGATTTGCTCAAAGAACCAAACAAAAAAAATCAAATTATATCATTTTACTAGCTAGAGGTTCTTTATTTGGTCTTGGTTTTCAAATATAGGATATTTAAAATTGAAAAAATTATATTTTTAACTTTATATTTTGATATAATTAATTACTGTACTCTTATATTTTACACAACAGATAAAATAATATAGTTTTTAACAAAAATAGAGTTGTTAATTATGGATAAATGATATTTTTAATGTATAAACTTTCTTTTTTTTTTTTTTTTTTTTTTTTTTTTTTTTTTTTGCAATTTAATGTACGAACCAAAAATATTTGCATTTGAATATTTGAACTTAAAAAACAGTTAAATAAGTATTTTTTTTTTTTTTTTTTTTTTGCAATTTAATGTACGAACCAAAAATATTTGCATTTGAATATTTGAACTTAAAAAACAGTTAATTAAGTATCATTGATTTGATAGCCGGAATCATGATTCAGTAAATAGTAGGTCCACAAATGTACGATTATCATTTTACGTGTCCTCCAACTAATTGCTCAATTAGAAAAAATCTTAGAAAAAATCTTAGATGACGTGGCAAATGAAAGGCCAAAGAAAGAGACAGGCCAACTAAAAAGTTGGCGTTTTTATTAATGGGACTATGGTAGACAGAAAATAGACCAGCTACGTAGATGGGTCTATTGAATAGATAGTGGACACGTTTCAAAATATATGAGTACGTGGATTTCCTATAGTGGACACATGTTACGTGAGGGAATTAATAAAGGTATATAAGTCTTCTACCTTCACTTGCCACATCATCTACGTTTTTTTTTTATAAGCAATTAGTTGTAAGACACGTAGTAGGATGCTGATTGTATATTTACAGACTCCAGTACTTGCTGAGTCATGATTCTGGCTATCAAATCACCATCAGATGACATTAGCCTGTTTTAAAAATTTAAATATACAATTCTAAAGATTTTCATTCATTCACTAAATCTAATTCGAATAAATTTAGATTAATTTGATTTTTTATTTTTGAACAGACTTTTAATCTATCTATATATTGAATGGAAATAAAAATTTAAAATTAAAATTACCTAAAATAATAAATCGGATCAAATCGATTAGCCAAAAAACCAAACAAAAAAAATCAAATACCATTACCTATCATTTTACTAGCAGGAGGTTCTTTGTGATCGATTTTGCACTGTAATCAACAGAAGAGAGTACAAAATGATCAGAACTAAAGCTTTTTTCTTTTTTTGGTTAGCCTCGCTTTTTCGCTGACTAAAACTTTCTTTATCACTCCATCTATTTTAAAATATAAATCTATTAAAGTGATTGATTGTTTTACTTTAAGTCGGTTTTAAATATTTTAAAAAATAATCAATTATTACTTTCCAATTTTACTTTAATTCATATTAAAGTAAAATAATTATCTCCATAAATTATCCTTAGTTTTAAAATAAAAAATAAATTAATAAATTACCATTGATTTTATTTATAATTTACAGGAATTAATTACTTTCTGAATCTTTATGCAAAAATCTTAAACGGCTTATATATATTTTGAGTTATAATTAAGTTAATACTATAATAATTTATTTCATTTCATTTTTCATTATAATAATGAGAAGAAAAATGCCAAATTCTTAAATATTGATGATAGTTTGCAATGGCCAATTTAGCCTTATCTTTTCACCGACTAAAACTCCTTTATAATTTGATTTTAATTAATTTAACACTATAATAATTAAAAGAAAAATACAACAATTTTAAAGTTTCATCGTAACTGGCAATCACTAATATTAATTTAGCCTCATCTGTTGCTTAGCGCGAAACCAAAGTGCATCATCATCCATTGCACGAAAAAGTCAATGTCAGCAACCAATCATGCGCATTCTCAGACCGGCCCCACCTAATGCCTAGCCTCATCTATTGTATATTTATGTATTTTTGTAATTGTCGTTTAGTGTCCTTCAATTCTGTTGATGCGATTAATTTCTTTTAATTTTTTGAATCGATTGACTTTGTTACAAAAGGCAAGTGTAAATGGATTTAAGGATATTTCTGTCTATGCACAAGGTACCTAAGGACAAAATTTTAGTTTTTTTGTGACAAAATGACTTATTAATATATTTTGGTTTTTATAAATAAATTAGTTATTTTTAGTAAAATACAGAGAAAAGGTTATAACTTTCTCTAAAATCTAATTATTGCATGAAATAATGTTACTCATCTTTTAAATAAATATACAATTTAATTCATAAAAAGCAATAAATTAAGAAGACAATTAGTGTGCTGTGGTTGAGTTAATTTTCTCATGAAAGATATAAAGGGTGTAAAGTATCAAAGTTTAGGCTTTTTCATCCTAAAAGTTTTCACCAATTTGAAATATGGACACTGAAATTTACGTGGTTCGCCCTTAACTGTTATGGACTACGTCTACGGTACAAAACTCCAAATAATTCTTCCACTATTAAAAATAATATGTACAAAAAGATTATAAAAAAAATAGTGTCACTCAAAGTGTTTTCCAAAAAACACTCAAAAAAATTATAATCTTTACTATTTTCTCTCCTTTCCAACTTTAGTAACCCTTTCCTAAAATTCTCTACACTTAATTGTGTATTTTTATTTTTTTTTTGGTTGATTGAAGAAAAACTTCTCCTATTTATAAGAGAAGTGGATGCGTTAATCAACTCGTCCGCGCAATTAACGCATTCATCTTCCTTTTGTTGTTGGTGCAGCCTTCTTTGACAAAAAAAAAATGTGTTTTTCCATTTTTTTTTCCTTCAAATTTGTGTGGGTTCCACATGTCTGAGGGACTCACAACACCACACATTTTCTTTTTTAATTTTCAAAATGTGTGGATCCCACGTGTCAGAGTAACCCACAATATTTATTTCATTTTTATTATTTTTTATTAATTACGGGTATAAATTAAGCTAAAAATAATAAACTACAGTATGAAATAACTTCCCTTTTATATCTCTCTCGTCGGAATCAATTAAAATTGAGTTTTTATACATCCAAGTCTTTTTTTTTTTTTTAAATCAAGTGCTTTTTTTTTTTTTTGAAAAATCAAGTGCTTACGTATTATTCATATCAAACCGAAGAACATCATTAATTAAAATTAGAGGGATAATAGCTCATTCCAATAACTCAGCCATATAAATAGATGTCCGAGCTAACATATGGATTAGCTAACATATCCAAATAGATCACCGATTTGAAGGTTACCATCGAAAATAATTGATTTAAACATTTGGTTCGATTAAATCAAATTGAATTGAACCAAATCGGACGGAAATAGCTAAATTTTAAAAATAAAGCATCAGAACCTAATTGAATAGCATAGTTTGATTTGATTTTTTGATTAGAACCAAAGTTGGCTCAAACCTTACAGGGCAGTAATATTTTATTATTTATTTAAATAAATTTTTGTCTCTCCTCTCCACTTACCCACTTTAATTTTTTTATCTAATGAATCTTAGCCTAGAAAATTGAATAGCTTTGCACATTACTTGAGTTTATTCATCCATATCTATCTAAACAGAAACCAAAGCCCACCTCTCAGTTCTTCAAAAAGAAAAAAAAAAAATGGCAGAGTCTTTTGCTTTCGCCGTTGCTGAAAGAGTATTGGAAAAGCTAGCTTCTAATACTTACAAAGAGATACGTTTAGCCTGGGATTATGAAGGGGAAGTGAAAAAGCTAGAGGAGATCTTATCAACAATAAAAGCTGTGCTATTGGATGCAGAGGAGAAGCAGAAGCAGGCGACGAATAACGAGCTGCGCGTTTGGTTAGCTAGGCTTAAAGGCGCTCTTTACGATGCTGAGAATGTTCTTGATGAATATGAGTATGAGATTACCAGAAGGAGAGTGCTGCAATTATATGGAACCGCCATTAAAAAGGTATGCCTCTTAATCAATTTTCATTCTTCATGAATAGAATTATTCCACAGTAAGTTTATTTCATTTTTACAATTTTTTTATTAATCAGGGGTATAAATTAAGCTAAACATAATAAACTGCACAATATGAAATAACTTCACTTTTATATCTCTCATCATATCAGAAAAAATGAGTTTTTATGCATCCAAGTCCTTTTTTTTTTTTTTTTTTTAAATCAAGTGCTTATTATTATTATTTTTTTTTTTGAAAAATCAAGTGTTTATGTATTATTCATATCAAACCGGAAAACATCGTCAATTAAAGTTAGAGTGACAACACCTCATTCCATTAACTCAGCCATAGAAATAGATGCCGGAGCTAATTTATGGACAGTCTGATATACTGATTTCTTAATAAATTAATTTCTGTAGAAGCAATGCCTAAAAGGAGCACTCTACAATCTGTAAGTAAATTTTCCAGCATAAAATAAATCAGGATAATTATTAACTAATGCACTGACCGCCATAAGGCAATAGCTTTCAACAATAACATGAATATATAAATTCATATGTACTTTTTACAAAAAAAAAAACATTTTGATACCTTCAACTTATTTTTATCTATTAAATACTTTGATTTATAAAATTGTAACCGTTAAATATTTTATTTAATTCATTGAATAATTCAACATATAAAATTAAATCAATTAAACATTTATTAAAAAATTAAAAAATTGTAAAGATTATTATTTCAAAAGTTGTATTAACATGTATCAAACCAATATTTTATATATAAAAGCCAAAAAAACCTTAATATTTACTGTTTTCATTAGAAGAATGTGTAAAATTATTACAAAAGTGAAATTCAGACTCTCATACGGTCAATTTTATAATTCAGGGTTTCATAAGATTTTCGTAAAAATTCAGGAGTTAAATGATGTATTCGGCTGAAAAGATTTTAATCTAATACATGCATGCCTGGATTTAACAAACCAGGAAAGATAAAAGAAAATTAACAAAATAAGCAAGATATATACAACTTGAAGAGGAGAGAAAGGTAAAAAGCAAATCCATAAATTGCTCAATCTAATTTTGTTCAATTAAAAATGGTGTACTTAATGTAGTTGTTTGAAATTAATAATGCATGTGATGGGTCATAAAATGTCTTACGATATGAGATTTTATACGATATAATGTCTTATTGAGAATTACTGTTAGGGTGAATTGATAATGTTTTAATCAGAAAAAATCTCAAAACAACGAAAAAATCTATCTTGGCAACAATGTAAAAAAAAGGGTATTTTTTTTTTTTCCAGTCTTTAAGGTCAATGTAAAAAAAGACTCTTAGTTAATTTGTTGTAACAAAAGAAAACTATATATATTGTTAATTGAATAAAATGATTTTTTTTTTTTTTTTGCCTAAATTTATATGTGAAATTCATATATTAAGCACATTTGATTTTCAGGTGGGTCGCTTCTTTTCATCATCAAATTCACTTGTATTTCGTTTCAAAATGGGTAATAAAATAAAACAAATAAGAGAGAGATTAGAGGAGATTGCAAGTCATAAGGCTAAATTTCATCTCAGTGAACTAAATGAGAATAGACATGTTCTGCATAGGACAAGAGATATGACCCACTCCTATGTGGAAGCTTCTAATATTATCGGAAGAGATGTAGACAAGGAAAAAATCCTCGACCTTCTAATGAACCCTAGTGAAGATAGAAAAATATATGTCATTTCTATTATTGGATTAGGAGGTATGGGGAAAACTGCACTCGCTAAATTGGTTTTTAATGATATAAGAGTAGACAGTCAATTCAAACATAAAATGTGGGTTTGTGTTTCTGAGAATTTCCACATCAAAAAATTAGTGGAGGAAATTATTAAATCAGCAGCCAGTAGCACAGAAAACTTGATTAATTTGGAAATGGAGCAATTGCAAAGGAAGTTGCGGGAAACCATTGGTGGTAAGAAATATTTTCTTGTGTTAGATGATGTGTGGAATGAACAACCCATAAAATGGAATGAATTGAAAGAATTGTTGTGTATGGGTGCAAATGGAAGCAAAATCTTGGTAACTACTCGTAGTAAAAAAGTGGCCTCCATTGTTGGCACCATCCCTGCAGCTTATGAACTATCAGGTCTTTCTGATGATGAGAGTAAGGCTTTGTTTACTAAATTTGCATTTAAAGAAGGTCAAGAGAAAGACTATCCAAACTTATTAAAAATTGGGGATGAAATTCTCAAAAAATGTAAAGGAGTTCCCTTAGCTGTAAAGACACTAGCTTCTCTTCTTCTTTCACAAACTGATGAAGATTATTGGAAATATATCAGAGAAAATGAATTGTGGAACTTAGAGCAGAAGGAAGACGAAATTTTACCTGCTTTAAGATTAAGTTATGAACAATTGCCATCTCACTTGAAAACTTGTTTTGCTTATTTTTCACTCTTTCCAAAGGACTATAATTTTGTTGGTGTAGAATTAGTGCAAGTTTGGATGGCACATGGACTTGTTCATTCAAGGAATAAAAATGAGGAATTGGAAGATGTAGGCAAGCGTTATATTGAAGAGTTAGCTTCTCGATCTTTTTTCCAAGACTTTCAAGACTCATTTGGTTTTGAATTTCTTAGATTCAAAATGCATGATCTAATACATGATTTGGCACTGTCATTGACAAAAAATGAATGTGCAATTATAACCTGTAGCACCAAACAAATCTCTGAGAGTGTTCGGCTTTTGTCATTCGCTAAACCGACTTCACTTCCTGAAGATCTTCCAATGATGTTACAACAGTTAGATGGAGTTCAAACAATTTCATTTGGAAATACTAAGGATTTAGGTCTCAACAATCAATCAATCCTAAACTTGTGTTTGTCGAAATTCCATTATCAAAGAATGCTGGATTTGAGTTGGTATTCTAATGTGGACTTACCAAAACAGATTGGTACTTTGAAGCATTTGAGGTATCTTAGAGTGGTTAGCAATTCTAAAATCAAAAGACTTCCAAAATCTATTTGCAAGTTGCATCATTTACAAGCACTAGATCTATGGAGATGTGATGAAATTGAAGAGTTGCCTAAAGATATAAGGTGCTTGGTCAACCTGAGGCATTTAAAAATAACTACAAAGCAAGAATGTTTGCCCAAGAATGGAATAGGATCTTTAAAATCTCTTCGAAAATTGAGCATTGTTTTTTGTCCTAATTTAAAATATTTGTTTGAAGATATGCAAGGTCTGAGGAACCTTCAGTTACTGCTTATTGTTAAATGCAATCAGTTAATCTCTTTGCCTCAAAGTGTAAAATACCTGGTTACATTGAAGACTCTTTTTATTTCTAATTGTCAAAACCTTGATTTGACAATAGAGGAAGAGAAAATTAATGAAGAGTTGAGTGCATTTTGTGTTCTAGAATTGATACTTATCAGGTTGCCAAAACTGGTGAATTTGCCACTATGGCTTTTTCAGGGATACACTCTAAAATCCTTATATCTGAGAAATTGTGATAATCTCAGAGAATTGCCTGCATGCCTTCGCAATATAGAGTCTCTTCGACAATTAGAGATTCGAAATTGTGGCGAGTTGGGAGAAAGATGCAAACGTGAAGAGGGTCAAGATTGGTCTAAAATTGACCATATCCCTAAAGTTATTATTCACGAGGCCACAACATCTGATGGCCACGACAACCATTAGGTAAAAGTTATCTTATCACCTCCCTTCATCTAATTTTTATTTGGAATCATGTTCAAATTAGCCTTTGATTTTTTCAATTGTATCCAATTAAGCTCAAAGTTAATTTTAAATTGATTCAAAAATTGAGTATGTAGTCAATTTAGTCCTTAATTTTTAATTTTTGGTCAGTTGAATCTAAATCTTGTTTCTAAAAAATAATTTTTCTATTTTTATATATTTATATTTAATATTTCTTAGTAAAATAAAATAAATCCCATCAACCCTAAAACTAATTAAAATTATTCTCTCATGGGGTAAAAAGAAATCAACCTATTAACATGAGTGTTTATGATTTGGGAAATTTGAGAAAAATAAAAGAAACTTTTGTTTATTTGGAGGGGGAAGTTGGAAAAGAATATTTGGAAGATTGGGAAATTGAAAAAAAAAAAAAAAAAAAAAAATATCCCATCAACCCGTAAACTAATTAAAATTATCTCCCTCATAGGGGTAAAAAGAATCAGACCTATTAACATGAGTGTTTTATGATTTTGGGGGATTTGAGAAAAAAATAGAAAGAAACCTTTTGTTTATTTGGAGGGGGAAGTTGGAAAAAATATTTGGAAGATTGGAAAAATTGAAAAAAAAAAAAAAAAAAAGGATACGCGAAGTGCTTATAGTGTTTTGAAATATATAAATCTTAAAAAAAAAAAAAAAAAAAAAGGATAGCGAAGTGCTTATAGTGTTGGAAATATATAAAATCTTTTATTATTTACATAATAGAATTTTTTTTTTTACCAAGAAAAATTGAAATTGAAGGGCTAAATTATTTAATTTCAACCTGATTGAACACAATTGAAAAATCAATAGCCAGTTTGATCTTCAATCCCTTTTTATTTTCTAAGTATGACATTTTTTCATATTTCAACTATAATGTCATCTTATTTATATATTTTTCAGCCATTTCCAACATAAAAAAGTTTTAGCTTTCAGATACAGCTATGCAACCAAAGCATCTCGGAAGGCTGTGGTTAATGGTGGAGAGTTTTCAATGGTCCAATGGTGGGAAAACTGAATGGGAACAGTGCGTTTTGTTCATGTTCTCAGAGAGAAGAACAGGTTGGCTGATCATCTTGCCTAAAGAGGCCTGAGCTCTCCTTCTCTTTTTCTACTTGGTTGTGATTTTTCCTCAGTCTTATATCCAAGTTTGTTTGGTAAATTCAGCTTAATATTGCTGTTTATTTCCTTTATTGCTTCTCGTCTCGTGAGGCTGTGTTTCTGGTGTTTCAGGTGCTTTATCTGTTGATTTATGATGTAATTTGAACCTAGGTTGGGGTGTATTGGGGAGTCTGTCGACTGCTGGGGATTAGATTGGTTCGACTCTCCTAATCTATATTATTTTGCATTATTAATAAAATCTTCTTCTTTGTTTGCCGATTAAAAAATAAATAAATAAATAAAATACAGAGCTTTGTAAGTGAATTGTATCATAAAATGAATCGGGTCTAATTCATTTTTCAAAAGCTAGTTCAAGAATTAGACGATGATTCTCACATCTAGACATGAACATCTGGGGCATGAAGTTTACAGGCAAATACATCTGCGTATGGAAGAGGCAGCATTAAGAATCTCGCATTCATAAAACGCATATAAGGGTAGTAAGTTAGCTGGCTAATTAGTTAATACTAATCTTTTAACATTGGTTATCCAAGCGCAAATAAGCTTACACATTTTCATCTCATGAATTTTAACATTTTATACAATTTACCTCTATCTTTTTTACTTTTAATCATTGAGACGAATGTGTAGAAGTATGTTTTTCTCTTTTCTTTGCCTATTTTGTGTTTAAAGGTTTTTTCTTTCTCTAAACCTAGAATAATAAATCTCAGCTGACCATATAAAATTAAACACTTGATTGACTCACAAATTATTGTAGTCAAATATTTTAACGACACTCTCATTGTATTTCATTCATTACTCTAGTATATTTTTTTTAAAGCATCTAAATTCGAGTATTGACTTGATTAATTAAAATGGACCAATTTCAAATAATTTATTCATCTCAAATAAATGTTAATTAAATAATTTATGAGTCAAAGCCATAGCACTGAGCTTTTAAATTTGAGCCATCTCTACTATATGTTTTTATTTCCAATACAAGATAATAATTTTGATTTATTCTTCATAATTTTGATTTATTTTTCATCAAATGGATAAAATTGTGATTAATAAAGTAATCTTTGAATAATATTCACCAAATTAGTTATAAATTTTATGGTGTAAAAGATTGAATTTAATATTTTTCACTCTTCATATCTTTATACAAGAGGTCGGAAGACTAAATAGATTATAAATCATTTGCACATATTATTTAATTTTTTTATGTTTAATCAAATAATACATTATTCAAAAAAAACTCTAATTACAATGATCTTTATGTTTGACATACATTATTATTTAGACAAATAATAAATTAAAAACCCTTGTTGGCCAACAGAAATAAATAAATAAAAAAAACTAAATTTTGTGATGCTAGTACTAAAATTATTAAAAGATTGTATTAAAGGTGCACCAGTACCACTATATGTGATATGGATGTCACGTCAAGTGAGTGTCAGTGACTTGAGTATTGTCACAATCTCTTCAGACTACTGTTATTGGATCATTTGAACCAACAGATAATGAATGGCGTAAATTGCATTTTGAAAATTCCACATGTATATTCTTCTCAAAAAAATAAAAAAGTAAAAAAGAAAATTCCACATGCCAATTGCTTTTCATCTTTGCCAATTCCTTTCTATGTTTTACATTACATATGGTCCCCACTTTTATTTGGAATTTACCTATCACTATTTAGTCTTGGTTTTCAAATATAGGATATTTAAAATTGAAAAAATTATATTTTTATCTCTATATTTTAATATAATTAATTATTATACTCTTATATTTTATGCTACAGATAATTAATTATATTAGGATAAATGATATTTTTTATGTATGAATTTTTAATTTTTTTGCAATTTGGTATATAAATGGAAAATATTTGCTTGAACTTTTTAAAAAAGTTAATTAACTGTCATCTGATGATTTGTTAGCCAAAATCACGTCTCAGCGAGTAATGGGTCCACAAATGTATAATTAGCATCCTACGTGTCTTCTAACTAATTGTTGAGTTGGAAAAACCTTAGATGACGTGGCAAACGAAGGCAAAAGACTTGCACCCTTATTTAACAGCTTGACCATGGAAAGCTTTTTTCTATGCTTTAACAAGGAAAGCAAACAAAACCACGATAAACCCATTGAAATTTAACTTTAAAATACAGAAAAATGGAGGAGAACAACAATAGTTACCAAAAAGAATCGATGTTAGTGTTCAAAAGCTAAACTCACCAACTCTGCCACGAATTTCAGGCAAAAATGGAAAATGTGAAAAAGGGTTCTCTTTTTTCTTTCTAGCAACTAGATTTAGACCAGAGAGACAATGAGGAGAGGCTCAAAGAAAACAAAGAAACAGTTGATGTTAGCAAATGAGAGACTAAAACTACACTGAAAACACTATGGCATTGAAAGCCCAATTTAAGACTGCAATGGTTCTGCTGTTTAGCCCAGTGGATGAATGTGAATTGCCCTGAAGAAAAGGGATTGTGTGTCATATCATATGGGTATCTAACAGCAAGGCCAAGCCACATATATATAAAGTGCTAAAAGCATTTATAGTGTCAATAGAGAGGATACGACCAAACACTATCTAATATGATTCTTGTTCTTGAATTCGCTGGTGGAATATAATAATCTAATAGACTTATCTAGATTCGCTTTACTTATAAATCGAATTAATGAAAATATAATTTTTTAAAAAAATCATTTTCAGTTTATTTTTCTTTAATTAAATTGGCTTTTCGATTAAATTTATTTGGCTCTTCAATATGATCGATTCGGTTCGATAATTAGGCAACATTTTGATAATTAGGGTCTAATAACGTTTACCGATAATGTTGTTAATCTATAAATAGCTAAATCTATTTAACAGAGATATTAACATTGTCCACCTAATATATAATTATTGTATATGTGTGAAAAACTAGAGTACGATTTCTAATTTATTTCTATAGAGATTTATTATTTTTATTATTGATATGTGTGAAAAACTAGAGTACGGATTTCTAATTATTTCTATAAGAGATTTATTATTTTTTTTACTTGATGAGATATAATTTTTTATCTATTAAAAAAAGCATATCTATATATTATTTTATCTATTAAAAAAAGCATATCTATATATTAAAAATATATAAAATATAATTAATTTGATTTCCTTTCTATTCCGATTCAATTTAACAAATGACTTTTCATGGACTAGTTCATGAAAGAATCCATAGACCGAATTTAGACAAATAAAATTTTCAACCATCTAGAACTTATGAGGTTTACCCTTCTCCTTTAATTCTTTTAATTAACAAGTTATTTGTTCTTAGCCAAGGTTTATTGGTTCCCTTGGTTCCCTATGAAATAGGTTACCTTTGCATGGATATGGAAGTTTCAAACACGTAGCCAAATATGCTTTTACTCCTGTTTGGAAAGTGACTGTTTTTTGTATATAGAGACATATTCTAATTAATAGATTAGGTTACGTTAGGTTAGATTACACACACAAATATGGCATATTGTGATTGTTTTTCTTCTTCGAATTTAAAGCTCATGCGATACACAAATCCAACAGTTTCTGTAAATATATAAAGGAAATTTCTATTATCCAACAGTTTCTATCACACTTATTAAAACAGTTCTATCAACTATTAAAATACATTTATTAAAACAGTTAATTTGACCGAATAAATCTTTAGTGTCAGCGGATAAGTTATTAGTTATTTATACTGCAACTTAAAGCTTAGCTGTTAAATTTAGTGAATCTCCAGCGACCACAATTCAATTCTGCTTTGCTCGTTGTTGGAGCACTTATTATTAGTTCATCCTTAGAATTCAAACTCTACTTTTCAAAGACACGGCCGAGACTTTTGCTTTCAGTATTGCTGAAGAAGTATTGGGAAAGCTCGCTTCTAAAGCTGACAAGAGATTTCTCTTGCCTGGGGTTATAAAGAGGAACTAAAAAAGCTTGAGGATATCTTATCAACTGTAAGAGCTGTGCTGTTGGATGCAGAGGAGAAGCAAGCGAAGAATCTGGAGCTACGCGTTTGGTTGGCTAAGCTTAAAGCCGCTCTTTATGATGCTGATAATGTTCTTGCTGATTTTGAGTACGAGATTACAAGAAGACGAGTGGTTAAATTAGATGGGAGTACCATAAAAAAAGGTATGTCTCCTAATTTTCACTCTTCATATCTATGGACTTATTTGATTAATTAGTTGTAACAAAAGCAAACTCTATAGTTAACCGAATAATTCAATGTATAATTTTTTTGTGCCTAGATGTATAAGTGAAATTCATCTATTATGCACATTTGGATTTCAGGTGGATCATTTCTTCTCATCCTCTAATCCACTCGTATTTCCTTTTAAAATGGATCATAAAATAAAACAAATAAGAGAGAGATTAGACGAGATTGCAAGTCATAAGGATAAATTTCATCTCACTGAAGTAGATGAAAGTAGATTTGTTGTGTATAGAACAAGGGAGATGATCCACTCCTATGTGCTAGCTTCTGATATCATTGGAAGAGATGCAGATAAGGAAAAAGTTATCAAACTTTTAATGCCCAACTGATGATAGGGCAATATCTATTATTCCTATTGTTGGATTAGGAGGTTTGGGGAAAACTACACTTGCTAAATTGGTCTTTAATGATGTGGGGTGCCAATTTGCGCTTAGAATATGAGTTTGTGTTTCAGAAGATTTTGATATAAAAAAAATTAGTGGAGAAAATTATTAAATCAACAACCAGTAGCACAGAAAACTTGAGCAATTGCAAAGAAAGTTGCAAGAAACCATTGGTGATAAGAAATATTTGCTTGTGTTAGATGATGTGTGGAATGAAGAGCCCATGAAATGGAACACATCAAAGAATTATTGTGTATGGGTGCAAACGGAAGCAAAATCTTGGTAACTACTTGTTGTAAGAAAGTGGCTTATATTGCAGGCACCATCCCTGCAGCTTATGAGCTATCACGTTTTTCTGATGATGAGAGCAAGGTTTTGTTTACTAAATTTGCATTTAAAGAAGGCCAAGAGAAAGACTATCCCAACTTATTAAAAATTGGGGATGAAATTCTCAAAAAGTGTAAAGGAGTTCCTTAGCTGTAAAGACACTGGCTTCTCTTCTTCTTTTAAAAACTGACGAAGGTTATTGGAAATATATAAGAGATAATGAGTTGTGGAACTTAGAGCAGAAGGAAGATGGAATTTTACCAGCTTTAAGATTGAGCATTGAGCAGTTGCCATCTCACCTGAAAACATGTTTTGCTTATTGTTCACTCTTTCTAAAGGACTATCAATTTTCGGATCTTCATTTAGTGCAAGTTTGGATGGCACATGGACTTGTTCATTCAGTGAATGAAAAAGAGGGATTGGAAGATGTAGGCATGCGTTATGTTCAAGAGTTAGCTTCCAGATCTTTTTTTCAAGACTTCGAAGTACAAAGAGGATTATTTCTTGTATTTAAAATGCATGATCTAATACATGATCTGGCATTATCATTAACAAAAGATGAATGCACAATTATAACCTCTAGCACCAAACAACTCTCAGAGAATGTTCGACATTTGTTATTTGATGAACCCACTTTTCTTCCCGAAAATCTTCCATTGATCTTACAAAGCTTAGATGATCGGATCAGAGAAAACTGTTTCACTAATGTATGGGGGCGTCGACAATCAACACATTTTAGACTTGTGCTCGTCGAAATTTCAAAATCTAAGAATGTTGGAATTTAATTATTCTAACGTGGACTTGCCAAAACAGATTGGTACTTTGAAGCATTTGAGGTTTCTTAGTTTATTTATAAATCCTCAAATCAAAAGACTCCCAAAATCTATTTGCAAGTTGCACAATTTACAAACATTAGGCCTATCTGGATGTAATGAAATCGACGATTTGCCCAAAGATTTAAGGTTATTGATCAACCTTATATTTTTAGACACAACCACAGAGCAAAAACATTTGCCAAAGAATGGAATAGAGTCATTGAAACCTTTGCAACTTAATTATCGAAAGTTGAAAATAGCTTAATCTCTTTGCTGCAAGGTATGAAATTTCTAGTCGCACTGAAGGGTCTTTTCATTTTTGATTGTAAAAACCTTGATTTGACAATAGAGGATAGGGAAATTAATGAAAAGTCGAGTGCACTTTGTCTTCAAAAGCTGATACTTGAGGGATTGCCGATATCGGTGAATTTGCCACAATGGCTTCTTCAAGGATACACTCTACAACTCTTACATCTGGAAGATTGTGATAATCTCAGAGAATTGCCAGCATGCCTGCACAACATAGAGTCTCTTCAACAATTAACGATTCTGGATTGTCGTTTGTTGGGAGAAAGATGCAAATGTGAAGAGGGTGAAGATTGGTCCAAGATTTCTCATATCCGTGAAGTTACTATTGATGGCCACAACATCTGATGAAGATAGTGATTAGGTACAATTTATTTTATCTCCTCCCATTATCTAATTTTTATTTCGATTTAAGTTCAAATCGGCCCTTCAATTTTTCAATTCTATCCAATTAGGTTCAAACTGATTTTAGAGTCAATCACCACATCATACGGTGCCATACGCAGGTTAATTATCATAAATTATATATTTATAAATATAATTTTAAACTTATATCATAATATAATAGAATTTAACATTTTATAATAAAAATTTATGCATGATATTTTATATTTGTTGACTTCGTACATAATAATTTAATTTGTAGACACATTATAAATTCTATATTGACATTATCATGTGCATGTAATTATAATAAATTAATACAGTTTAAAAATGCTACTTGTAGTGGGATTTTGTCAAAATATTTATTATCACAGAAATACAAATAGATTTTTCTAGTTGAAAATTCATATATGTTCTTTTTTGTCTTAGTTGGCACAACTTTATTGTAAATTTTTTAACAATACAACTTTATTGTCTACCTTTGATAATTTTAAAATATTTTTAAAAATAAAAATAAAATAACTAATAAAATTATTACTGAAGTTAATATCTTTAAGTAAGTTACTCATTATAATTTTACAACTCATTATTTTAAGTAAAATTTAATATTTTATTTATTTATAAAGTTTTTCAATGTAAATATATACAAAGTAAAAGTCTTTTAATGAATCTATTAGATATATAATATTTCTCAAATGAAAATAAGCAATTTGTATAAATGGAACCAAAAAAATTATTATTTTTTATCTTCAAAATTTTAATTTGAGCCAATTTAGACAAAAAAAGTCATAAAAATATAAATTTATATGGATATTATTATTCTTGGGTTATAAAATATCAAATATTGTTATTTTATTAATTGAACTAATAAAATAAATAAATAAATATTGTTTTAAAAATAGTATTAGTAGAGCTTTATATATGTTTATACTATTAATCTTTAATTTGCTTAAAAAATTATTACCAACACTTAATAATTAATATTTGATGGATAATTATTTATTATAAATGCACGTATCGAAAGTACTTAATGTTTTGTGTGTGTACTACCAAAATTTTCAAATTCTAATGTTTTACACGTCATGAGAGAAGATATAAAAAAGTATGGAAATAAATTAAACTAACCAAAAAAGTTAGCCATTAGTAACTTTTTACATATAAATCAATGGTACATCAATTTTTTTTTCTTTCCAACAGTAAATTGGTATGTTCATTCATGGGGAATCCGTGCGTGCTGTCTCTATATGCTTGTGAGTTTTTTTACTAATAAGTAAACCACTGCTTGTCAGTTATACTGTCTAATTCAACTTTTACTATTAAATACTATGCTTATTTATGCTAAAGTTAATTAATTATTAATTGTCTTTATGTGTGTGTATACAATTATTTATTTCCTTAAAATGCTAATTAAGCTCTTTAGATTTTATCTAACTATATATTAAAAATATTAACTAATTTTGATAATAATAGATTTAAATTTTTGAAAACTTTTTTGTTTTCATTTCCTCATTTTCAACTTTTATAGCAGGTATCATATTCACGAGGACTTAACTGAACTGCAGAAAGTTCCACTGTTAGTTGATTGTAATAACCTTCACTTTACATATGGTATTTTGTAATTTGCATTGTATTCCTTATTAATTTTATATTGTAATGGTGTCATCTCCTTATATATGAACTTTATGTATTTTAAATATAAACATCACAAGATTTGTAAAAGGAATTCCAATACCTGAGAAGAAAACAAATTACCATTTCAGTTGACTTATTTCTTTCTCCGTTCTTGTTTATATGTTGTTTAGTGATCCAACATCACAATTACTAAGGTAATACATGAAAAAAGATTGGAATTTTAGAGTTCATATGATCATGAAGAAGTATAATGAAAATTCATTCAAAGATAAGCTATAATTGATTGTTTTCGACATATATTTTTCAACAGAAATTTCAAAATGGGTAGCTTCAGTATTGCAACTGGAGACCTAATGTCCAACAGAACCTCATAGAGATCTTTCTAATTGAGCAACCTGTTTCATTAACCCCCCACCACCCTATTCTGTCTCCAGCACAAAAAGTTTATAACTTGACATCTGCTCAAACATTTTAGTATGCAGCAAGTCGACAGGATTTTCAACATTTACAGTCAACCGATTTTAGCCTCCAAGTAAAAATTTTCAAATTGAGGTGAACATGTAGAAATAATTTCCATAAGGTGAGCGTTTTACCAGAATCGTGATGGATAGGTTCAATATGCTGGTAGGTAACTCAGCTGACAAACTTCCATCAGTTTTGCTTTATTTCTTGAAGCATTTCAACTACTTTCTTCATTTTTGGCCGCTTGGCTGGTGTGCTATCTGTGCAGAGTAATGCCACCTTAAGTGCAGCCAACATTTCTCTCCTCCAACCGAAGGAAACTGTGCTGAGTTTTGCATCAAGAATTTGCTCTGGAGTCTCTCCTCTTACTGGAGCTCCATGAACCCACTTCACCAAATCTACCCCTTCACCAAATTCCTCATCAACTGGTAGTCGAGTAGTTAGAATCTCAAGCAATACTACCCCATAGCTATAGACATTTCCAGGTGCTGTAACTTGCATTGTGTATGCATATTCTGGAAGATGAATAAAAATAGAATTAAAGCGAGAAACAAAAAGATTTTCATTTAAATTTTTAGCTTTAAGCCCTTATCTGTGATGTGTCACAGAACGACTAGGAGAAATGATCCAGCTAATCAATAATAAACAAAAATAGATTGGGATGGCTACAAAGACTGCATAAGCTGAAAGATTAAGACCTTGTGCTATTGTTTATCATGACCTGCTTAATTTTTCTAGTTGTGTTATTCAGTGTAAATCCTTATATGCAGCCTGGCAGAATCCAAGAGTATTGCCAATCACTTCAGTGAATATATATGGGGAAAAAGAGAGCGGAAAGAAAATATAGTAGGACAAAAGACATTCATAAAGCAACTAGACAACAAATGGTTAAAGATTCCAAAAACAACAGTAGAGTCTCAGTTGGGAATAATCAAGGTCAAACATATAGAGTCCAAATGACAAACCTGGGGGAATGTAACCGAAGGAACCTGCAACTGCACTTATACTTGCAGTGCCTTTGGATGGATCTAAGAGCTTTGATATCTCAATTTCCCCAACCAAGGGCCTGAAGTCAGCATCTAAAAGAACATTTCCAGAAGAAATGTCAAGGTGGATGATTGCTACATGGTGGAGAAAAGCCAATCCTTCTGCTACTCCTATAGCAATGGATAGCCTCGTAGGCCAGTCAGGTTCATAATCAGATTTCTTGCTAGACTCATGAATGAGCTGAGCTAATGTCCCATTGGGTAAATAATGATGCAACAAAAGAGCAACGTCTTCATAAATTACATATCCAATTGGCCGCACTAGATTGTCATGACAGAGCTTGCTCAACCTTTCAAGCTCTCTAATCATCTTGTTCTGATGATGAATAATAGTTCTGTCCATTGATTTCAATCTCCTCACTGATAGAATCATCCCAGAAGGCATAACTGCCTTGTAAACTGTGCTGAATGTTCCACAAGTGAGCTTATTTGTATCCTTTAGAGTTGCTTTAACAGCGGCATCTAGATCTATTGCCTGTCTGAGATTTTCAACAAAGACATGGCCTGCTATTATTGATGGTCGGTCATTGGTTACATCATCAGCAACCCCTGCAGTTTTGGCTGCTTTTTCCTGTTTCTCCCTCATCATAAACAGCAGAACAACTATAGTTACTGAGACAAAAACTGCCAAACCAGAACCAATAACAGCTAGTATAATTCTGTAAGAAACCTTGTGATGGTAATTCTCATGACCAATAGCATATGAATTTCCACATGACAAGCTCAATGGATCTCCACAAAGCCCTTTGTTCCCTGAAAAGCTTGAATTTGGACTCTTTTGGAATGGTACAAATGTGGGAACTGGACCACTGAGAAGATTGTTTGAGAAATTAACTTCTATCAAACTCAACATGCCTTTAAACGATTGGGGAATAGTACCAGAAAGCTGATTATTAGAGATATCCAAAGAAACCAGCTTGTCAAGCTTTCCTAATTCAGGGGGCAGTGGTCCATGAAGATGATTGTAGCTCAAATTTAAAGCTATCTGCAAGTTCCTGATGTGACCAATCTCAGGAGGGATACTTCCAGTCAAATAGTTACTGCCCATTTGCAATTCCAGCAGTTTCATGCAGTTTCCAATTTCATGGGGTATCTCACCCTTTATTGAATTCTGACCCAAAAGCAAGTACTGCAATCTTGACATGTTGCAAATTGCATTAGGTATAGTGCCATTGAATCTATTACTGCTAAGATCCAGTTTGTTAAGACTCTTGCACCCAAGAATTGATTCTGGGATATCTCCAAACAGATTGTTACCTGAAAGAATCAATTCCTGCAAATTCACAAGCTGTCCAAGCTCAGAAGGAATAATTCCAGCAAATCCATTTGAGGCCAGATTTAGAAGGGTGAGATTAGAGCACCGAGCGAACTCAGAGATAATCTCACCAGATAAATGATTATCATCTGCTTCAAAATACGTGAGGCTACTAACATTTCCAATTGCTTTAGGAATAACTCCTAAAAGATCATTGTTCCCAATTCGAATACTAGAAAGACCTTTACAGTTTCCAATAAGTTCAGGTATTTCACCACTCAATCTATTCTGGGTAAGAACCAAAACTTCCAACTTCCCCATAGCAAAAATGCTATTAGGTATTGGCCCTTCAAGGTGATTGGAATGAAGGTTCAGCAACTTCAGCTCAGAAACTGAACCTAAATTATCAGGAATTTCACCACCCAATTCATTCTCATAGGCAGTAAAAATTCTCAAGCTAGTCAAATTACCTACCCAAGATGGAATTGAACCATTCAAGCTATTACTAGAAATTTGAAATTCCTCCAACTTTTCTAGACCCCGAAGCTCATCAGGTATTTCTCCTAAAAGCAAATTATTGGAAAGATTTAGTGATTTAAGGTTTTTAAGACTGCCCAATTCTCCTGGAATCAAACCATCAAACTTATTCAAAGACAAATCAAGAAACTCAAGCTGAGACAAATTTCCAAAAGCTGAAGGAATTGGACCATGAAAGTTATTACCAGAAAGGTCAAGCTTCTTCAAAGCTTTGAGCTCAGAGATCAAAGTCACGTTACCTCTGAGGTCAAGCCTTGAAAGAGCAACCTTCTCGACCAATGAATGATTCAAGCTGCAAGCAATGCCACGCCAGTTGCAGCAATTTGTGCTGTTGTCACCCCACCCAGGAACTTTAAGCTCTCTGTTAATGGCCAATAGTGTAGCTTGATCACTGAACTGAGCAGTCGCTTGCTGGCTTTTTGATAAAAACCCAACTAGCAAAATATAAGAAAAGCATAACAGTGCCATTATTTGAATTCTTCTTGTTTCTTGATGGATAAGAGTTCTTCAAAGCAAGAACTCAAATTTTCTTCACACCCCAACTCGGAAACATTGATATGTACTAAAATCCCTCCTTTTTACTATGAAGGAATCAAACTTTACAATAAACCGCTCAGTGAAAAATCAAAAACTTTGAGCCAAAACAATCCAACAAAAATAGTTTACAGAAAAAAGACTATAAATGCAAACCCCAGATCAATATTCAACATTTCAAGAAATACCCATTAGAGATTTAGTGGAATCAAAGCAATGCAAAGAACAAATCCCCTAAATTTAGGGAGTTCGGTGGGAGAAGATGCAGCAAACAAAGAAATATGATAAAAAAAAAAAAAAGAAAAGAAAAACTTTAGACCCACATTAAAGGAAGGGGGGAGAGAGCCAAAAACAAGAACTAGAAAACAAAAGAAGCATAACAAGGGACCTGCATTATAGAACACGAGCGGTATATGCGCTCATCTTTATTTTATGTAACAGAGCCAAACTATAGAGGAAGAGAGGTTATGTCAGTAAAAGAAAGAAAGAAAGTGCAGATTAGAGAGAAGCAAGAAAAGAGAGTAGAGGGTACTGTGTTTGTTCTTGGTACAGGTGGTTTTAGAAAGAGAAAGAGAGAGAGGTTTATGTGTCTGAAAAGAGAGAAGAGGAATTGTTATTCTCTCTCAAGTAAGGCTTTTTCACGAGAAAAGAGCAGTGATGAGTGAATGAAGTCTGCATAAAATCTCCTCTTTCAAAAACAAAAGAGACTGAAACTATTATGGGTTTTGATACTTTCAAGGACTTACTGATTTATTATTATTAGTAGTAAATAGTAGTATTTTCTTTTTTCCTATGCTTTTTAAGGTAGCCCCACGCTTCCTGGACGGTGATGATAATGTTTCACTTCGGCTTCGAGGATGTTTCATTTCTTTCCGCCGATAATCTATTTTGTATCTGAGTTGTGTTTGTTAAAGAAAATTAAATTACCAATAAATTTTGGCTTAGTATACAATTAAATTACCGAAAATCTATTTTGTACCTGAGTTCGTTTTTTATTTTGTGTAAATTACCGGTTTCCATATTCCATTATCTGGGACCTCTTAATTCAACTGTCACATTCTTTGCCCTCTCCGTATAAGTGCGTGAGATCGAATCCGATAGCTTTTTTTCACGTGTTCTGCCTGCATAGAACCACAATCAGCAGGTTTTCGTTTTTAATTTATAATATTCCAAATTTTTTAATAAATCTAAGACCTCATTTATTAATAGCGTTTACTAATAAACTCTGAAGTCAAATTCACTTTTTTTTTTTTTTTAATTTGCATTCATGTTAGTACACTCGAATTAGATGATATTCAAGTAAAACGCTCCATAATTTCAAATTTTAAATTTGCAAGTAAAGTTTACCAAATCTGAAAAATCTTTTTACAGAATAAGAAATGTTTTAAGCCTCATCTAAAATATCAATTACTTCCTATCTTATATGGGCTCCGCTTAACTGAGTCTTGTTGCCTATGGATGAATTTGAATTTGAATTTGGATATCTATTATTAGTTGTATTTATATGTGAGCATGTGATTCAGTCAATTAGGTCAATTCAATTCGGTGAAGAAATGTTCGGTTAAAAAAAATTAAATTTTCAGTAATCAATTATAGATTTGGTTAAAAATTAATTAAACTGAATTAATCAAATTTAACCGACTCCCAAAACTACATCGTTTTGATAAAATAGATAATAAAATTAAAAATTAAAAGTATTTTAATTTTTATTTTAATTAAATAGTGACTATTAATTCGATTAAAATTTTTTATTTCAGTTAATTAGATTTTCCTTCTCTTTAATTTTAATTTGATTAATGATCAAAATTAATTCGGTCAAAATAATTTAATTAAGTTCAGTTAAAAAATTAATTCGATTAAATTGAATTAATTTATTTCGATTAAAAATATTACTCAAATCGGTTAAAATTGCGAATGCCTCACCCCTAGTTTGTAACTAGAGCAAATTTAGCGCTAAGCATAACTCAATTTTTTATTAAGGAAATAATAAATTTATAAAGAATCAATAATGGGAAGGATTCATTTAGACATTGACATAAGGCACATCTTATTTGTATTCTTTTAATTTAGAAACAGAAAAATACAAATTAACTTTCCAAAATTCAAGAGGCTCTTCTGAAAATTATTTGACAAAGGAAATAAAATTGTCCATTCAGAGCAAAAACCTAGGATTCCCCTCCACCAAAGTGGGTCATTACATGCTATGAATGAGGTTTATCATTTTCAATGGACATCCCAATCTTTTAAATCTTCAACTTTTATAAGACCACATGATAATAATTATCAATTCCAACTTTCCAATCTAAATAAAGGAAAATCATGATATACACCTCCTAAATAAATCTAAACAAGGTTGTTAAAAATGTGGGATCTTCCCTTTAGGGCTTTTGTCCCTTTAGAAGGGTCCCCTAGACAAATTAAGTGGGCTAATTAACAAAATAACCAAAATTGATTAGATACATTTTGCTTCAAATTGGAGGCAAATCACTATTTAATGGTCTATATCAATCACTCTCACTTATATATGATCTTTCCATTATGTTAATGTAAAGAAGGAAAATATGTTGGATTTTCAAGGGACATTTCTAGTTGTTCAGTTATATTATTTGATGTTAAGAGATACTTACTGATGACACAAAATAAAAGGATCGATAGAATGTTTAGAATTATATATTATTGCAATTTAAATGTCTATTACGATAAAATTAATTGATTTATCTTTAATCAATTCATTTCAATTAAGATAAATTAATCCGAGGAGTTAACATGTCTTGTCATTATAATGGGTCCTTCTACCAAGTAGAGCATCACATTCAATGGGAAAGATAAATATTTATGTATTTGTGAGAAATTAATTAGTTTAATAAATTAAAAGTCCAAGTGAATTTATAAATTAATTTGTTTCTAATTAATTATGACATGATTATTGAACCATATTATATATTTTTTTTTTTCGTTAACTCATAATTTCAACATGGGATGTGTTGTTTTACGAGGTTAAATTAACTCAAAATATTATGTTATTGCTAGATTATCCAAAAGAAAATTAATTAGTTTAATTGTAATTGTATTTGTTATGGCCTCAAAATATGATAAATCAAATTACATTCTCATTTTCAATGCAACAATTCAAGATGAGAAATTTGGAAAAAATAGAGAGATAAACTAACAATTTGATTAGTTTATATTAAAATAAACTACGAATAAATTTAATAATAAAAATTTTAAAAATTTCTTTGAAAGTACTAAAAATTTGAATAATCAGCAAATTCAATATTAATTTATGTATTTCCTTTATCAAGTGAAATTAATTTATATATTCCTACTTATGAAATTATACTAATTTTATAAATTGGAAATTCATAAAATTTTGAGTGACTAACAGAAAACTATTAACACAACATAGTCATAGTTCAAAGGTTTTTTTTTTTTTTTTTTTTTTTTTTTTTTTTTATCAAGTGAAATTAATTTATATATTCCTAATTATGAAATTATACTAATTTTTATAAATTGGAATTCCATAAAATTGAGTGACTAACAGGAAAACTATTTAACACACAATAGTCATAGTTAAAGGTTTTTTTTTTTTTTTTTTTTTTTTTTTTTTTTAGAAAAAAGAGGTTTCCTAAGTCCCCATGGATATGGATTATGGTGAGGTCCTTTAATCTCCAAGGTGATTGAAGATTCCAAAAGCACATATTGGGAAAAGGCCAATCTCTTGGATGAAGAGGAGAGGAAGTTACCATATATGAAACTTTTTATTATAAAAATAATCAAAAAAAATTTTTTGTAGTACTAATAAATAAAAAGACAATTTATAGCATGGCAGCACTACTTACAAGAAAATGCAACAACCCACTCTATTGGAACAAGGTGGAACTTTCAGAGCACCAGATGGTCTTGAAATGTTTGCAGGATGGGTCACATCTACTATCACTGCCTTGACACT